AATTGATTTTTTTTTACTCATCAATCTACACACAATATGCCATAATGACAAAGCAAAAACTGCTTGTTTTTAAATTTATGTATTTGGGGATTTTCTCCCATTCTTCTCTGCAGATCCTCTCAAGCTCTGTCAGGTTGGATGGGGAGTGTCGCTACACATCTATGTTCAGGTCTCTCCAGGGATGTTCCATCGGGTTCAAGTCCGGGCTCTTGCTGGGCCACTCAAGGACATTCAGAGACTTGTCCCAAAGCCACTCCTGCGTTGTCCTGGCTGTGTGCTTAGGGTCGTCGTCCTGTTGCAAAAATGTCAAAAAAACTGTTTTCGCTTTGTCATTATGGGGTATTGTGTGTAGATTGATTAGGATGTTTTTTTTATTTAATCCATTTTAGAATAAGGCTGTAACGTAAAAGAATTTGGAGAAAGGGTCTGAAAACTTTCCGAATGCACTGTATCTGTTTCATGTCTCGGGTGGTCCACGAAAGCCAGCATGGAAAGAATGCAATAATTGACTAATATTTGCCATATTCTAATCATTCTCATGTGCCAACGTATTGCCATGGTGAAACTTGCACTCCTGTAGATCTGAAATAATTGGATGGTGAAACTTGCCAGCCAACCAGAAAAGCAAGGCAAAGCAATTCAGGCATTCTTGAAAGTCAGAACAATCTTTGTCCTGCAAATAAACATTATTTTAATAGCTGAAAAAAATTATTTTGCAAGCAGTAGGCATTTAGCGTTGCGATATATGGTCTCTGATTACTGTAAGTCGCTCTGGATAAGAGCGTCTGCTAAATGACTAAAATACTTGTTCTCCCCACTGTATATGGAGAGTGCATAATCCACAGCTGAAAGAATATACTTTTTACTCCGCTAGGCCGATTATTTTTAAGGATATATTACATATTACTTTCATCACAGTTAGTGCATCTAGTTCAGAAGGTGGAAGTTGTACATGTATATGTCTGATCATCATGCAAACTTATGCAAATTATCTATAACTAATGCTCCAAATCGTGCCACAAGGTGGAGATTTGATTTCTGTATGGAATTCAGGTCTGATTTACATGAATTTATCCTCAAAGAGTCTCAACAAAAAAATATATTACCTAACTGGAGTCCACTTTATCCTTACTAATTCGTCAACAGCATAACAATTTCTCCACCGAGAAGGAGAGAGAGTTATTAATTATCAAATCAGGGTAAATTCCTTACTCAGATTAAGAGCAGAATTTCTAATTCATAGAGTCAGCCAAACTGATTATCTGGACGGTAATAGACCTAGCTTCCTCTTAGCTAGTAAATTAGGCATTAATGATAGTCTTGCTGACATTGTTTCCATTCAGTCTGATGATGGTGTTCTCTTGCATGATTCACCATCAATTAATTTACAATTAAAACATTTCTATGAAAAATAATACAGTTCTGAAGTACAAAATACTTCAGACAGCATGAGACCCTTTTTCGAGGGCTTGTATCTACTGCAACTCTCCTATGATGCACCTATAACGCTCAATGAAAGGGGGATACCTAGTCAGTTGTACAACTGAATGCATTCAACTGAAATGTGCCTTCCACATTTAACCCAACCCCGCTGAATCAGAGAGGTGCGGTGGGTTAACTGCATTGCTCAGGGGCAGAACAGATTTTTACCTTGTCAGCTCGGGGATTCGATCCAGCAACCTTTCGGTTTCTGGCCCAACGCTCCTACCCACCAGGCTACCTGCCGCCCTGCACGATGCATTAAAAAGACATGAACCAAGGTAAATCCACTGGATGGGATGGCATCCCACCAGAATTCTATTGAACCTTTTGGTCTGAACTTGGCCCAATATTATTAGAAATGGTACAAACATCTATTCAAATGGACTTTTTCAATAGAGATGTTAATACTGCAATTATCTCTCTGTTACATAAAAAAGGTAAAGAACCAACTCTGTGTTCAAGTAATAGGCCTCTCTCCCTCATTAACAGTGACATGAAATTGTATGCCAAGGTTCTAGCCAAACGGCTTGAAACCATTTTACACAAATTAGTTCATCCTGATCAAACAGGTTTTGTCAAACATAGATTGGCTTCAGACAATCTGAGACGTCTCCTACAAACACTATATATACAAATGTATGTGGACACCTCTTCAAATTAGTGGATTCGGCTATTTCAGCCACATCCATTGCTGACAGGTGTATAAAATCGAGCACACAGCCATGCAATCTCCATAGACAAACATTGGCAGTAGAATGGCCTTAGTGAAGAGCTCAGTGACTTGGCACCATCATAGGATGCCACCTTTCCATCAAGTCAGTTCGTCAAATTTCTGCGCTGCTAGAGCTGCCCCAGTCAACTGTAAGGGCTGTTATTGTGAAGTGGAAAAGTCTAGGAGCAACAACGGCTCAGCCGCAAAGTGGTAGGCCACACAAGCTCACAGAACGGGACTGTCCAGTGCTGAAGCGCGTAGCGTGTAAAAATGGTCTGTCCTCGGTTGCAACACTCACTACAGAGTTCCAAACTGCCTTTGGAAGCAACATCAGCACAAGAACTGTTCGTCGGGAGCTTCATGAAATGGGTTTCCATGGCCGAGCAGCCGCACACAAGCCTAAGATCACCATGCGCAATGCCAAGCGTCGGCTGGAGTGGTGTAAAGCTCGCCGCCATTGGACTCTCGCAGTGGAATCGCATTCTCTGGAGTGATAAATCGCGCTTCACCATCTGGCAGTCCGACAGACGATTCTGGGTTTGGCAGATGCCAGGAGAACGCTACCTGCCCCAATGCATAGTGCCAACTGTAATGTTTTGTGGAGGAGGAATAATGGTCTGGGGCTGTTTTTCATGGTTTGGGCTAGGCCCCTTAGTTCCAGTGAAGGGAAATCTTAACGCTACAGCATACAATGACATTCTAGACGATTCTGTGCTTCCAACTTTGTGGCAACAGTTTGGGGAAGGCCCTTTCCTGTTTCAGCATGATAATGCCCCCATGCACAAAGCGAGGTCCATACATAAATGGTTTGTAGAGATCGGTGTGGAAGAACTTGACTGGCCTGCACAGAGCCCTGACCTCAAACCCATCGAACACCTTTGGGAGGAATTGGAACGCTGACTGCAAGCCAGGCCTAATCACCCAACATCAGTGCCCGACCTCACTAATGCTCTTGTGGCTGAATGGAAGCAAGTCCCCGCAGCAATGTTCCAACATCTAGTGGAAAGCCTTCCCAAAAGAGTGGAGGCTGTTATAGCAGGAAAGGGGGGACCAACTCCATATTAATGCCCATGATTTTGGAATGAGATTTTCGACGAGCAGGTGTCCACATACTTTTGGTAATGTAGTGTTTAATACACATTACACCTAATATACCAATCCCCCTGTGCAGCCCTGTCAATTGATGCGGAGAAAGGCTTTTGACCGTCTCGAATGGTCTTACCTCTGGTATACTATGGTACTGTGGATTTGGCTAAATGTTTATGACTGTGAAAACACTGTATAGTAACCCCTCTGCGATTGTCTTGACGGGTAACCAATGCACCTCATAGTTCGCCATCAAACGGGGAACTCGTCAAGGCTGTCTAGCGTCCAGCCTCCTATTTGCCCTATCACTGGAGCCTTTAGCCCCAAAAATACGTAAATCCCAAGATATAGGACAAATATCAGTTAAGGACACGGGGCACCAAATCTCATTACATGCAGATTACATATTATTGTACCTTGACAATGTACCATAATGCCTCCCTAATGTGTTAAGTATATTCAGACAATTCAGCAGTATATCAAGTTATAAGAGCAATCTCACTAAATCATCTCTGCTCACACTTAACAAAGCAATGTTCAATCTCAATATAGAATCGAAGATAACAATTGACCAATTTTAAATACCTGGGCATTGACATTTTTCCCTCTAGATAAAATTGTTTCGAAGAACTACAAACAAGTCACAACCGCAATTACAATAGATCTCGACAGATTATTTAATCTAACATTTAACTTTATCAGGTCAAATTAAAAAAGTTCAAATGAATGTCTTGCCTACACTCAATTTCTTTGTTAGCATGCTTCCTTTGCCCACGCCGTTAGAGTACTGGGAAAATATTAAAAGTTCCGTTTTGAATTTTATATGGAAAGGGAAACGTCCCAAAATTAAAATGACTACACTCCAGCAACCCAAAGGTTTAAGGTCTAGGTTTACCCAACTTCAAGTTATATGCTTTGTCTCTAGGTCCCCTACCCACTTAAGAACTGGTTTGATCCTTAGTTGGAAATAGATTAAAATGCAGTGTCACCATTTACGTTGAAAGATGTACTATTCTCTGCCTTACCTCCTAAGTTTTGCCGTACTCGGTTTGGACCAATCATCGCCCACTCAATACAGACCTGGCAACAAACCAATATTTCGAAATAACCCCCTACCTTTGGTAGGAAAACCTGTCTGAACAAGGAATTCATAAACTTTTGGACATAATGAATGATGGTTTATTATCCTTTCATGACCTAAAAAATATGTATAATTTACCTGGTTCGTCTTTTTCGTTTTTTTTTTTTGCAGTTAAGAACCGCTATGCGCAATTATGGAGTCCCATTGAGTCAACCAGTGTGAAAATGTATGCACTCACTAACTGTAAGTCGCTCTGGATAAGAGCGTCTGCTAAATGACTAATAAAAATACAAATACCACTCTCATTCCATCCACTCACTGTGTTTTTAGGTAGCCAGAACACAAGTGGAGGTTTTGCTTCAAATTTATGTAAAACTCTACTAGAAGCACTCCGTAAACCAATAGGAATAGTTACGGTATGGAATGCAGATCTTAAAGACTACAAACAAAATACAGATTGGAAAAGAGTCTGGAACAATATCCCAAAGTCCTCCTGAAATGTAAATTATCAACTAATGCACTACAAATTAATTCACAGATTTCATTTGACTCTGCGGAAATGCTGCCAATTTAAACTTGCTCCTATTCCAAATTATCTGTTGTGTTCTCAAAGAAATATTGGAACCTACATGCATGCACATGATGTGGGACTGCCCCAGCGTGAAGACCTTTTGGTCACAGGTTGCCAGGTCTGTGTCGAGCATAGGGAATGGCAGCACCAACTATCTCCCCAATATATTATTGTTGAACGATGACTCTTCACTGACTCTCACAGTACCTCAGAAACTAGTATGGTTGTCTGGACGTCCTTTCACTAGAGCTCTCCATCGCTCATGTGAATAGCGGCAAGGAAACAACATTAGATGCATTCAATAGATGAGTTAATGAAAATCAAATTTTATTTGTCACATGCGCCGAATACAACCTTACTGTGAAATGCTTACTTACAAGCCCTTAACCAACAATGCAGTTCAAATATTTACTGTCAATGTCAATAGTCCGGGTGGCCATTTTATTAATTGTTCAGCAGTCTTCTGGCTAGGGGGCAGAAGCTGTGAAGGAGCCTTTTGGACCGAGACTTGGCGCTCCGGTACCGCTTGCTGTGCAGTAGCAGAGAGAACAGTCTATGACTTGGGTGACTTGAGTCTTCGACAATTTTTTGGGCCTTCCTCTACCCGTCTGGTAGGCTCGCGTCACTGGGCAGCTCACGGCTGGGTTTCCCTTTGTAGTCCGTAATAGTTTGCAAGCCCTGCCACATCCGACGAGCGTCAGAGCCGGTGTAGTAGGATTCAATCTTAGTCCTGTATTGATGCTTTGCCTGTTTGATGGTTCGTCTGAGAGCATAGCAGGATTTCTTATAAGCGTCCGGATTAGTGTCCCACTCCTTGAAAGCGGCAGCTCTAACCTCGGTGCGGATGTTGCCTGTAATCTATGGCTTCTGGTTAGGATATGTACGTACGGTCACTGTGGGGACGACGTCATCGATGCACTTATTGATGAAGCCGGTGACTGAGGTGGTATACTCCTCAATGCCATTGGATGAATCCCGGAACATATTCCAGTCTGTGCTAGCAAAACAGTAATGAATGTATTTGCAAATTATGGTGGAAAATAAGTATTTGGTCACCTACAAACAAGCAAGATTTCTGGCTCTCACAGACCTGTAACTTCTTCTTTAAGAGGCTCCTCTGTCCTCCACTCGTTACCTGTATTAATGGCACCTGTTTGAACTTGTTATCAGTATAAAAGACACCTGTCCACAACCTCAAACAGTCACACTCCAAACTCCACTATGGCCAAGACCAAAGAGCTGTCAAAGGACACCAGAAACAAAATTGTAGACCTGCACCAGGCTGGGAAGACTGAATCTGCAATAGGTAAGCAGCTTGGTTTGAAGAAATCAACTGTGGGAGCAATTATTAGGAAATGGAAGACATACAAGACCACTGATAATCTCCCTCGATCTGGGGCTCCACGCAGATCTCACCCCGTGGGGTCAAAATGATCACAAGAACGGTGAGCAAAAATCCCAGAACCACACGGGGGGACCTAGTGAATGACCTGCAGAGAGCTGGGACCAAAGTAACAAAGCCTACCATCAGTAACACACTACGCCGCCAGGGACTCAAATCCTGCAGTGCCAGACGTGTCCCCCTGCTTAAGCCAGTACATGTCCAGGCCCGTCTGAAGTTTGCTAGAGTGCATTTGGATGATCCAGAAGAGGATTGGGAGAATGTCATATGGTCAGATGAAACCAAAATAGAACTTTTTGTTAAAATGTCAACTCGTCGTGTTTGGAGGACAAAGAATGCTGAGTTGCATCCAAAGAACACCATACCTACTGTGAAGCATGGGGGTGGAAACATCATGCTTTGGGGCTGTTTTTCTGCAAAGGGACCAGGACGACTGATCTGTGTAAAGGAATGAATGAATGGGGCCATGTATCGTGAGATTTTGAGTGAAAACCTCCTTCCATCAGCAAGGGCATTGAAGATGAAACATGGCTGGGTCTTTCAGCATGACAATGATCCCAAACACACCGCCCGGGTAACGAAGGAGTGGCTTCGTAAGAAGCATTTCAAGGTCCTGGAGTGGCCTAGCCAGTCTCCAGATCTCAACCCCATAGAAAATCTTTGGAGGGAGTTGAAAGTCTGTGTTGCCCAGTGACAGCCCCAAAACATCACTGCTCTAGAGGAGATCTGCATGGAGGAATGGGCCAAAATACCAGCAACAGTGTGTGAAAACCTTGTGAAGACTTACAGAAAATGTTTGACCTGTGTCATTGCCAACAAAGGGTATATAACAAAGTATTGAGAAACTTTTGTTATTGACCAAATATTTATTTTCCACCATAATTTGCAAATACATTCATAAAAAATCCTACAATGTGATTTTCTGGAAAGAAATTTCTCATTTTGTCTGTCATAGTTGACGTGTACCTATGATGAAAATTACAGGCCTCTCTCATCTTTTTAAGTGGGAGAACTTGCACAATTGGTGGCTGACTAAATACTTTTTCTCCCCACTGTAGTTATGTGATGACATCACGTGTACCTTCAAAAGTATTTGGCAATCATAATTTATTTGAAAAACACTGTTTCCATCATCATTTGTCGCAATAAAGGAAATGCACCAGTCGAACGGATAAAAAGGTTGTCGATCTTTAGAAAATGTCTCCTATCTGCCATTTCCATTACACATGTGTAGGGCGACCCAGCCCCTGAAGTGACTCTTCTTATCAACTGTATGCAAGGATTCCTTTGTGTTATCTTAGGAATGACTCATTATCTTGCCAACCCCCATTGTCTCACCTCTGAGAAGCAGAGGTAATATCCTGTAGGTTTGATATCTGATTGGAGGCTAACTTTATAGTAATACTGTTGGTCAACAACTCAGTTTTTGAATCCAATCAACTCAGATGCTTATAAAAGGGTCTTAGATTATTTGTTCTTTCTCTTATTTGTTCCTGACTTGCTGTGGTGAGATACCTACACTTTTTCTCTCCCATGAGCAATGGGCCATGGCCCATAGCTCATGAGAGAGAGAGAGACTTTTATAAAAATGGGAACATAAGCAAACTTATTTTCCACACAGACTATCCCCTGGCATGGCACAGTGCTATACTAGCACACTACCCCTCTGTTAAGAGGGGGGGTGTTAGCGATGGGTGGAAACTCAGGAAACTAGACAACGAGGACTCTGAGTCGTCTAATATAAATCTCTATAAATCTGGAACAGTTTTGGTACAGTGCAACACCAAACAGTTCCAGCTGGACTTTCACCTAATCAAAGAAATAGCTCAGCAGGAGAAGCTCTCCCTTGAGAAAGATACCCCCACCCCGAGCGGGTCAGACCAGACCTCTTCATTAAATAACCCCACAGAGTAACCTCAAGCTGAAAGTCAACTTCCCAGCACAGAGTACTACTCCCTCATTGAAATGAAGGATAAATTCACCCAGCTGGAGGTAAGGCAGGTGGAGCTGGAACAGCAGGTGAACACACTCCAGTCAGCACAGACCCAGACAACAGTCCAGCACAACAACACCCCCTTAACTAGACATGGAGAGCTGGAGGTGTAGAGAGACATGTCTGCACTCTGGACTGTGGTGAGACAACATCAACAGGAGAAAGAGCAGGAGCAGGAGAAGAACAGAGCACTAGAGGAGAGGATCAGAGTGCTGGAGGAGAAGGTGAGAATGATGACGGGTGACAGAGAACAACCCATTAGAGAGCTGGCCACCCCCGCAGAGAAGCCAGCAGAACAGCCCATCTTTGATCCTGGCCAAAGTCTCGACACCGCAGCAGAACAGTACACCCTAGACCATGACCATAGCCTCAACATCACAGCCAGACAAACAAATGAAGAACCCCAAGCCCTGGGGCTCCCAACCCCTCTGAGCACCCCCCCCCACACCCACTGAGGACATACACAAGTCCTTACGGACTCAAACGGGAAATACATACAAGAAAATACACTTTTCCCCAAACACACAGTGTCTAAACTCTGGTGTCCAAACACCCAGCCCGCCCTAGACCTTCTGTCTGAGGACCAACTAGGATCACCCAGCCACATAATACACACAGGCACAAACGACCTGAGAACACAGCAGGAAAGAGTGGCCACAGCACTCAAGGGAGTGATAGAAAAAGCTTCTTCTACTTTCCCCAACGCACAAGTGGTTATCTCAACCCTGCTACCACAAAAATACTTCCACCCTGCTACCATACAGCAGGTAAATGACTAAGTATTTCCCGTGACTGTGCATCAAAACCAAATGTCTACCTGGCCCACCACTCCACCCTGGACGTGAACAGCCTTTACGACCAGGTCCACCTATACAAGGCAGCAGTGCCCACCTTCGCCTGGACCATAAAGGATATCGCCCTCAACCGCAGACCAAACACCTCACATAGGAGCAACAGATCAACAGACACCCTGCCCAGACCAGCGAGACACTCTCCCAGACCCCCCCCCCCCCCCCCCCAGACCTACATATAGAGGCCCCCGCCGAGAGGACCTACATCCAGCCCACAGCACCATCAGCCACATCTACACCCCCACCCCCACCAATTAACACCCCACCAAGTCAACCATGCCCACACCCCATTTAGGCCCCCTCAGATCAGACCTATGCCCCTCCTACTCACCCCATGCCCCCCACTCCCGCAAAGAGGGCCTCAACATGAAAGTCACACATACGCCCAGGCCGTGAGCAGGCAAACAGGCCCAACCCCCACTCATACACTAGCCCAAGCCAATGGCATGTACCAGATGCTCAGCAGGCTCTGCTCACAATTACTGGCCTGAGGCCAAACCACACGACCAACAACATTAGACACCTTATGGAACACAAAGCCTTCACTATTTCATCCTGGAATATCCAAGGCCTGAGGTCATCTGCCTTTGGCCTAAAGAGCAGGAACCTGGACTTCACCAAAGAAATCGGAAATACAGACATTGTCATCCTACAAGAAACATGGTATAGAGGAGACAGACCCACTGGTTGCCCTCTAGGTTACAGAGAGCTGGTAGTCCCATCCACCAAACTACCAGGTGTGAAACAGGGAAGGGACTCAGAGGGTATGCTCATTTTGTATAGAGCAGACCTAACTCACTCTATTCAATTAATCAAAATAGGAACATTTTACATTTAGCTAGAAATTCAAAAGGAAATTATCTCAACAGAGAAAAATGTCCTCCTGTGTGCTACCTACAGTGAAGGAAAAAAGTATTTGATCCCCTGCTGATTTTGTACGTTTGCCCACTGACAAAGAAATGATCAGTCTATAATTTTAATGGTAGGTTTATTTGAACAGTGAGAGACAGAATAACAACAAAAAAATGTCAAACATTTTATAAATTGATTTGCATTTTAATGAGGGAAATAAGTATTTGACCCCTCTGCAAAACATGACTAAGTACTTGGTGGCAAAACCCTTGTTGGCAATCACAGAGGTCAGACGTTTCTTGTAGTTGGCCACCAGGTTTGCACACATCTCAGGAGGGATTTTGTCCCACTCCTCTTTGCAGATCTTCTCCAAGTCATTAAGGTTTCGAGGCTGACGTTTGGCAACTCGAACCTTCAGCTCCCTCCACAGATTTTCTATGGGATTAAGGTCTGGAGACTGGCTAGGCCACTCCAGGACCTTAATGTGCTTCTTCTTGAGCCACTCCTTTGTTGCCTTGGCCATGTGTTTTGGGTCATTGTCATGCTGGAATACCCATCCACGACCCATTTTCAATGCCCTGGCTGAGGGAAGGAGGTTCTCACCCAAGATTTGACGGTACATGGCCCCGTCCATCGTCCCTTTGATGCGGTGAAGTTGTCCTGTCACCTTAGCAGAAAAACACCCCCAAAGCATAATGTTTCCACCTCCATGTTTGACGGTGGGGATGGTGTTCTTGGGGTCATAGGCAGTATTCCTCCTCCTCCAAACACGGCGAGTTGAGTTGATGCCAAAGAGCTCCATTTTGGTCTCATCTGACCACAACACTTTCACCCAGTTCTCCTCTGAATCATTCAGATGTTCATTGGCAAACTTCAGACGGCCCTGTATATGTGCTTTCTTGAGCAGGGGGACCTTGCGGGCACTGCAGGATTTCAGTCCTTCACGGCGTAGTGTGTTACCAATTGTTTTCTTGGTGACTATGGTCCCAGCTGCCTTGAGATCATTGACAATACCTCCCATGTAGTTCTGGGCTGATTCCTCACCGTTCTCATGATCATTGCAACTCCACGAGGTGAGATCTTGCATGGAGCCCCAGGCCGAGGGAGATTGACAGTTCTTTTGTGTTTCTTCCATTTGCGAATAATCGCACCAACTGTTGTCACCTTCTTACCAAGCTGCTTGGCGATGGTCTTGTAGCCCATTCCAGCCTTGTGTAGGTCTACAATCTTGTCCGTGAGATCCTTGGAGAGCTCTTTGGTCTTGGCCATGGTGGAGAGTTTGGAATCTGATTGATTGATTGCGTCTGTGGACAGGTGTCTTTTATACAGGTAACAAGCTGAGATTAGGAGCACTCCCTTTAAGAGTGTGCTCCTAATCTCAGCTCGTTACCTGTATAAAAGACACCTGGGAGCCAGAAATCTTTCTGATTGAGAGGGGGTCAAATACTTATTTCCCTCATTAAAATGCAAATCAATTTATAAAATTTTTGACATGTGTTTTTCTGGATTTTGTTGTTGTTATTCTGTCTCTCACTGTTCAAATAAACATACCATTGAAATTATAGACTGATCATTTCTTTGTCAGTGGGCAAATGTACAAAATCAGCAGGGGATCAAATACTTTTTTCCCTCACTGTACATCCCCTCACTAGAATACCCATACTTTAATGAAGACAGCTTCTCCATCCTGGAGGGAGAAATCAATCATTTCCAGACCCAGGGACATGTACTAGTCTGTGGCGACCTAAATGCCAGAACTGGACAAGAACCTGACACCCTCAGCACACAGAGGGTCAAACACCTACCTGGAGGTGACAGCATTCCCTCCCCCATATTCCCCCTAGGCACAACTACGACAACATAACCAACAAAAACGGGTCACAACTCCTGCAGCTCTGTCGCACACTGGGTATGTACATAGTCAATGGTAGGCTTCGAGGGGACTCCTATGGTAGGTGCACCTATAGCTCATCTCTTGGCAGTAGTACTGTAGACTACTTTATCACTGACCTCAACCCAGAGTCTCTCAGAGCGTTCAGTCAGCCCACTGACACCCCTATCAGACCACAGCAAAATCACAGTCTACTTGAACAGAGCAATACTCAATCATGAGGCATCAAAGCCAAATGAACTGAATAATATTAAGAAATGCTATAGATGGAAGGAAAGTAGTGTCGAAACCTACCAAAAAATAATTAGGCAACAACAAATTAAATCCCTTTCAGACAACTTCCTGGACAAAACATTCCACTGTAAAAGTGAAGGTGTAAACTTAGCATTAGAAAACCTAAACAGTATATTTGACCTCTCAGCTTCCCTATCAATTCTAAAAATCTCTAACAGAAAACTGAAGAAAAATAACAACCCGTGACAAATGGTTTGATGAAGAATACAAAAACCTAAGAAAGAAATTGAGAATCCTATCCAACCAAAAACATAGAGACTCTGAGCCTACGCCTTCACTATGTTGAATCACTAAAACAATACAGAAATGCACTATGGAAAAAGAAGGAACAGCATGTCAGAAATCAGCTCAATGTAATTGAAGAATCCATAGACTAACCACTTCTGGGAAAATTGGAAAACACTAAACAAACAACAACACGAAGAGCTATCTATCCAAAACGGAGATGTATGGGTTAACCACTTCTCCAATCTTTTTGGCCCTATAACAAAGAACAAACAGCAAAAAAATATACATGATCAAATGCAAATCTTAAAATCAACTATTAAAGACTACAAGAACCCACTGGATTATCCAATTACATTGAATGAACTACTGGACAAAATACAAACCCTCCAACCCAAAAAGGCCTGTGGTGTCGATGGTATCCTCAATTAAATGATAAAATATACAGACCACAAATTCCAATTGGCTATACTTAAACTCTTTAACATCATCCTTAGCTCTGGCATCTGCCCCAATATTTGGAACCAAGGACTGATCACCCCAATCCACAAAAGTGGAGACAAATTTGACCCCAATAACTACCGTGGGATATGCGTCAACAGCAACCTTGGGAAAATCCTCTGCATTATCATTAACAGCAGACTAGTTCATTTCCTCAGTGAAAACAATGTACTGAGCAAATGTCAAATTGGCTTTTTACCAAATTACCGTACGACAGACCACTTATTCACCCTGCTCACCCTAATTGACAAACAAACTTTTTTTTTTTTTATCGTTGAATTCGTTATTTAACAAACTTTTTTTGTCATTTAGCAGACGCTCTTATCCAGAGCGACTTACAGGAGCAATTAGGGTTAAGTGCCTTGCTCAAGGGCACATCGACAGATTTTTCACCTAGTCGGTTCGGGGATTAGAACCAGCGACCTTTAGGTTACTGGCACAACACTCTTAACCACTAAGCTACCTGCCGCCCTGTCTTCTCATGCTTTGTTGATTTCAAAAAAGCTTTTGACTCAATTTGGCATGAGGGTCTGCTATACAAATTTATGGAAAGTGGGGTTGGGGGAATAACATACGACATTATAAAATACATGTACACAAACAACAAGTGTGCGGTTAAAATTGGCAAAAAACACACATTTCTTTCCACAGGGCCGTGAGGTGAGACAGGGATGCAGTTTAAGCCCCACCCTCTTCAACATATATATCAACGAATTGGCGAGGGTACTAGAACAGTCTGCAGCACCCGGCCTCACCCTACTAGAATCTGAAGTCAAATGTCTACTGTTTGCTGATGATCTGGTGCTTCTGTCACCAACCAAGGAGGGCCTACAGCAGCACTTAGATCTTCTGCACAGATTCTGTCAGACCTGGGCCCTGACAGTAAATCTCAGTAAGACAAAAATAATCGTGTTCCAGTTGCCAGGACCACAAATACAAATTCCATCTAGACACCGTTCCCCTAGAGCACACAAAAAACTATACATACCTCGGCCTAAACATCAGCGCCACAGGTAACTTCCACAAAGCTGTGAACGATCTGAGAGACAAGGCAAGAAGGGCCTTCTATGCCATCAAAAGGAACATAAAATTTGACAAACCAATTAGGATCTGGCAAAAAATACTTGAATCAGTTATAGAACCCATTGCCCTTTATAGTTGTGAGGTCTGGGGTCCGCTCACGAACCAACAATTCACAAAATGGGACAAACACCAAATTGAGACTCTGCATGCAGAATTCTACAAAAATGTCCTCTGTGTACAACGAAAAACACCAAATAATGCATGCGGAGCAGAATTAGGCTGATACCCACTAATTATAAAAATCCAGAAAAGAGCCGTTAAATTCTATAACCACTTAAAATGAAGCGATTCCCAAACCTTCCATAACAAAGCCATCACCTACAAAGAGATGAACTTGGAGAAGAGTCCCCTAAGTAAGCTGGTCCTGGGGCTCTGTTCACAAACACAAACAGACCCCACAGAGCCCCAGTACAACAACAACAACACAATTAGACCCAACCAAATCATGAGAAAACAAAAAGAGAATTACTTGACACATTGGAAAGAATTAACAAAAAAAACAGACCAAACTAGAATGCTATTTGGCTCTAAACAGAGAGTACACAGTGGCAGAATACCTGACCACTGTGACTGACCCAAACTTAAAGAAAGCTTTGACTATGTACAGACTCAGTGAGCATAGCCTTGCTATTGAGAAAGGCCGCCGTAGGCAGACCTGGCTCTCAAGAGAAGACAGGCTATGTGCACACTGCCCACAAAATGAGGTGGAAACTGAGCTGCACTTCCTAAACTCCTGCCAAATGTATGACCATATTAGAGACACATATTTCCCTCAGATTACAGAGATCCACAAAGAATTTGAAAACAAACCCAATTTTGATAAACTCCCTTATCTACTGGGTGAAAAACCACAGTGTGCCATCACAGCAGCAATATTTGTGACCTGTTGCCACAAGAAAAGTGCAACCAGTGAAGAACAAAAACACCTTTTGTAAATACAACCCATATTTATGTTGATATATTTTCCCATTTGTACTTTAACTATTTGCACATTGTTACAACAATGTGTATATATATATACATAATATTACATTTGAAATGTCTTTATTCTTTTGGAACTTCTGAGTGTAATATTTACTGTTAATATTTCTTGTTTATTTCACTTTTGTTTACTATCAACTTCACTTTCTTTGGCAATGTTAACATACGTTTCCCATGCCAATAAAGCCCTTAAATTGAAATTGAATTGAGAGCGAGAGAGAAAGAGTATAGGTATCTCACAACAGCAAGCCATGGTTTCTTCGTCCACCCTCTCTGACCATGCTTAGAGTAATAGCTTTATGCCTTGAATGTGAAACCATTCATTTCACAAGGTAATTAAATAATACTTGTATTTATAGTTCCATTCTCAGACATTTCTTCAATGCCTATTACTGTAACTCAACTATCGTCTCTTGCATATTGCTATTTATGGTGCAGGACGCAAAGAACTGTGTGGAGAATGTGTGTGATGTGGATGGTGACAAATGGTCTTGGCTGTGTAACCCCCAGGACCACAGTGGAGTCCTCAGAGCAGAACTGCAGCTGGATCGAGCCTCATGCTTTGGGTACACCGACATGGGTAAGGCTCATCAAGATTGACAACAGTCTTTTTTCTGAAATCCAGAGTAAACCTCCAATGAGACACTTATCATTTTGTTTTGATGTGCCATACAATGTAATGACCATTTCCTCCCTTGCTATGTAATTCGTAGGAAACTGTGGATCTGAATTCGTTCAGATCAATGTCGGCCGCTCCTCTTGGCAATGGCCCCTGGATTGGGCGGACAGGAGTTAGAATGTTCAAGAAAGGTAAGAACAGATAGGGCTGAGATAATAATGAATAAATCGCCTCTACTATTGGAGAATGTGAAATCGCTGGAGAATTAACTGGATGAGCTCCGTTCGAGACTATTCTATCCACTGGACATTAAGAACTGTAATATACTATGCTTCTCAGAGTCATGGCTGAACAACGATATGGATAATATCTAGCTGGTTTTTCTATGCATTGACAGGACAGAACAGCAGCGTCCGGTAAGGTCGGTGTGTGTCTCTTTATTAAAAACAGCTGGTGCGCAATCTCTAATATTAAGGAAGTCTCAAGGTTCTGCTCGCCTGAGTTAGAATACCTCATGATAAGCTGTAGACCAGGGGTGTCAAACTCATTTTAGCTCAGGGGCCACATGGAGGAAAATCTATTCCCAAGTGGGCCGGACCGGAAAAATCATGGTATATATAACTTAAAAACAACAACTTCAGATTGTTTTCTTTGTTTTAATACGATCAACATACAACATAAAGCTGGAGCCTGAGGACAGTGTGTCCAAAATAGTACAAGCACAACATCACTATTAATCATAAAACACGTCAAGTTTATTTGAAAATTCTAAAGAAAAAGAACACACAAACACACAATGCCTCAGTGATTAACAGAACTGTTTCACAGATCACAGAACTATATCAGGGTGTCATTTCTCAGGCAGAAATGTAGATAAAAATAATGAAATCCTGTTCCCCAAACAAGTGCAAGAACCACAGAGTCAAGAATAGGTTAAATATACAAATAAAATAAAATCAATTAAAAACAATAGCACATCAACATAAAAACATATAAACATAAAGCTGGAGCCTGAGGACAGTGTCCAAAAGCACAACATCACTATTAATCATAAAACACCTCAAGTTATTTGAAAGTTCTGAGGACAAAGAACACACAAACACACAATGCCTCAGTGATTCACAGAAGTATATCACAGATCACATAACTATATCAGGGTGTCATTTCTCAGGCAGAAATGTAGATACAAATAATGAAATCCTGTTCCCCAAACAAGTGCAAGAACCACAGAGTCAAGAATAGGTTAAATATACAAATAAAATAAAATCAATTAAAAACAATAGCACATCAACATAAAAACATATAAACATAAATCTGAAAGCGTTGCTCAAACTCCCGTAACAGTCCAGTTATTTTATCTTTGAACCGCTTCATGTCTGCCACGCACACATTTTTCAGACAGGGGAAGTGAGCTGCATCACCACCGGCAAGTTGCGTCTCCCACAATGACAGCTTCAACTTGAAAGAACGTATGCTGTCATAATACTGCGTGACAACTTTGTTGCGCCCTTGCAGCTGTTTGTTCAAGTTATTCAGGTGCTCTGTAACATCCACCATAAATGCAAGATCCGGCATCCATTCTGCGGAATGAAATTCTAACACTGGTTTGCCCTTTTCTTCCATGAACTGTTCAATTTCTTCTCGTAAATCAAAGAAACGCCTCAGCACAGCACCTCGGCTTAACCATCTTACCTCAGTGTGGTATGGCAGGCCATAAATGTGGTCTTTCTCTCTGAGAAGGCTGTCAAACTGACGGTGATTCAGGCTTCTGGATCGGATGAAATTAACAGTTTGGATGACCACCTTCATGACGTTATCCATCTTTAATGACTTGCAACACAAAGCCTCCTGGTGCAAAATACAGTGAAAAGTCAAAAAATCACGTCCTCTATTTGCAGATTGCACTTTCTCTCTGAACTTTGTCACAACGCCTGCTTTTTTCCCGATCATTGAGGGCGCACCATCTGTAGCCAGGCTGACAGCGCGGGACCAGTCCACTCCGACCCTGTCCAGCGCGCCGACCAGTGCGGTAAAAATATCAGCTGCTGTCGTTGTATCTGTCATCGGCACCAACTCCACAAACTCCTCGGTGACGGTCAATGTGTCATCAACTCCGCGGATGAAAAAATGGCCAGTTGTGCAACATCTGTAATGTCCGTGCTTTCATCAATTGCAACCGAAAACGCAATAAATGACTTTACTTTTTGCTTCAACTGGCTGTCCAAATCCACTGAAAGATCGGAAATCCTGTCTGCAACTGTGTTTCTTGTCAGGCTGATATTTGCAAAAGCCTGCCGCTTTTCAGGGCACACAATCTCCGCTGCCTTCATCATGCATGTTTTTACAAATTCACCCCATTACTAAATGGTTTTGAAGCCACTGCGATTTCATTAGCAATGAGGTAGCTAGCTTTCACTGCAGCGTCACTGATGTCTCGGCTGTGAGTAAACACAGACTGCTGTTTCTTCAGACCCGCCAACAGTTCATTCACCTTCTCTCATCTCCGCTGTCCTTGAAAGTTGTCAAATTTGTCGGCATGAAGACTCACATAGTGGCGACGAAGGTTATATTCTTTCAACACTGCAACATGCTCTGAACACACCAAACATACAGCTTTCCCATTCAATTCCGTGATTAAATAGGATTACCATTTTTCTTGGAACACTCTGCACTCTGCGTCCACTTTTCTCTTTTTTGACAGAGACATATTGGGGCAATGAGGGTGCCAAAGCACATAATGTTAAAAGTAGAAGCCGTATAAATATCGCGGGCAAAACAAAGTAGCTCATTGGCTGCACGTGCTTGACCTACTTGCTCTGCCCCGGTATAAACAGTTTGCTTGCTTAACACAATTGCTATTGCGCCATCCAGTGGACGCAATTGGAACAGCAGTTTATTTTATTTAAAAATTGCAGCGCATTTTTATACTTTAAAACAAAAAAACAAAAAAATGTTTTTTTTTTTTTTCAAAATCATCTCGCGGGCCGGATTAAACCCGTTTGCGGGCCTGATCCGGCCCGCGGGCCGTACGTTTGACACCCCTGCTGTAGACCATACTATTTACCAAGATAATTTTCATCAGTTTTTTTCATAGCTGTCTATTTACAACCACAAACCGATGCTGCCACTAAGACCGCACTCAACGAGCTGTATAGGGCCATAAGCAAACAAGAAAATGCTCATCCAGAGTCGGCGCTCCTAGTGGCCGGGGATTTTTATGCAGGAAAACTGAAATATGTTTTACATCACTACCGGCATGTCACCTGTGCAACTAGAGGGATTAAAAAATATAGATCACCTTTAGTCCACACACAGAGATGCATACAAAGCTCTCCCCCACCCTCAATTTGGCAAATTGGACCATAACTCTATCCTCCTGATTCCTGCTTACAAGCAAAAACACAAACAGGAAGTACCAGTGACATGCTCAATACGGAAGGGGTCCGATTTAGCCGACGCTAAGCTACATGACTGTTTCGCTAGCACAGACTGAAATATGTTCCCGGGATTCATCTGATGGCATTGAGGAGTTTACCACATCAGTCACCGGCTTCATTAATAAATGCATCGACGACGTTGTCCCTACAGTGACCATATGTACATATCCCAACCAGAAGCAATGGATTACAGGCAACATCCGCACTGAGCTAAAGGCTAGAGCTGCCGCTTTCAAGGAGCAGGACACTAATCCAGACACATAAGAAATCCTTCTACGCCCTCGGACGAACAATCAAACAGGCAAAGCGTCAATACAGGACTAAGATCGATTCCTACTACACCGGCTCTGATGCTCATCGGATGTGGCAGGGCTTGCAAACTATCACGGATTACAAAGGGAAACCCAGCTGAGAGCTGCCCCAGTGACACGAGCCTACCAGATGAGCTAAATGCCTTCGATGCTCACTTCGAGGCAAGCAACACTGAACCATGAGTGAGAGCACCAGCTGTTCCGGCCGACTGTATGATCATGTTCTCCGTAGCAGATGTCAGTAAAACCTTTAAAACAGGTTAACATTCACATGGCCGCAGGGCCAGACGGATTACCAGGACGCGTACTCAGAGCGTGTGCTGTCCAGCTTGCAAGTGTCTTCACTGACATTTTCAACCTCTCTCTGACCCAGTCTGTAATACCTACATATTTCAAGCAAACCACCATAGTCCCTGTGCCTAAGAACGCCAAGGTAACCTGTCTAAATGACTTCCGCCCCGTAGCACTCACATCTGTAGCCATGAAATGCTTTGAAAGGTTGTTCATGGCTCACATCAACACCATCATCCCAGAAACCCTGGACCCACTCCAATTCGCATACCGCCCCACAACATCCACAGATGACGCAATCTCTATTGCACTCCACACTTCCCTTTCCCACCTGGACAAAAGGAACACCTACATGAGAATGCTGTTTATTGACTACAGCTCAGTGTTCAACATCATAGTGCCCTCCAAGCTCATCACTAAGCTTAGGACCCTGGTACTGAACACCTCCCTCTGCAACTGGATCCTGGACTTCCTGACGGGCCGCCCCAAGGTGGTGAGGGTAGACAGCAACACATCCACCACGCTGACCCTCAACACGGGGGCCCCTCGGGTGTGTGCTCAGTCCCCTCCTGTACTCCCTGTTCACCCTCGACTGCGTGGCAGTGCACGACTCCAACACCATCACTAAGTTAGCTTACGACACAACAGTGTTAGGCCTGATCACCGACGATGATGAGACAGCCTATAGGGAGGAGGTCAGCGACCTGTCTGTGTGGTGCCAGGACAACAACCTCTCCCTTAATGTGGACTACAGGAAATGGAGGGCCAACGGGGCTGTAGTGGAGTGGGTGTCCACATCACTAAGGACGTATCATGGTCCAAACACACCAACACAGTCGTGAAGAGGGCATGACAACGCCTCTTCCCCCTCAGGAGGCTGAAAATATTTGGTATGGGCCCTCAGATCCTCGAAGTTCTACAGCTGCGCCACCGCTTGGTATGGCAACTGCTCGGCATCCGACTGCAAGTCACTACAGAGGGTAGTGTGTACGGCCCAGAAGTGTGTGGAGTGGTTGAAAAACGAGTTTTAATGACTCCAACCTAAGTGTATGTAAATTTCCGACTTCAACTGTATATATATAAAAATGTATATATAATTCCCAGGATGGAAAAACTTTTCAGTGTAAACTTAAAGGACAAAACCAGATATAAAGTATGTAGAAAATATAATGTACCTATATATTTTAATAAGATCCTCTTTGAGAACTAACAATCACCTAAATAAAAGCTAGACAGTCAGGGAGAATTTTCTAAAATGGTACATTCAGGAGTGTATTTGTCATGGCATGGGGCCCGGCATTGATTTTGTTATGTTTGAGTCACTCAGATAGCATAAGCCATGGCAAGATGTGTAGAATTGCAGGAAATTGCTTTAAAACAGCTACATTTTGTCGCTGTGGCCAACAGGAGGGCCAAAAAAAATATATACATCTGCGACCGCACAATTGGCCAACCCAATGGCCACTCCCCTCCCACCACCTAAGCCCCATTTTGATCAAGACAAAACCCCTAAAGCAAAGATTTTTATAACTAACCCAAAATTGACCAGAGCCTGTCGTTTCCAATGGGAGCAAATGCATCGTAGTGGGCAGAATAAGCAAGGAGGTGGGCAGAGATAAGCACGAGCGAGTGAGATCCTATTGGCGTGTTCTAGCATTTATTTGCATATTTCCATTAGGGAACCCCTACTCTGAAGTGGGCGGGTGCAATAACTGAATTCGCCCTTGCACTCCTTCTAAACAACATCATTTTTTAAAACTTTGGCAAAGGGTAAAATCTACAAAACGCAGTCCACTCTGTTTGTTACAGATTCTAGTTTTGGAAATAGAAAACTGTATGGAGATAAAATGTTTAATCGATGAGAAAATGTGCAGAATGTGGGCCAAAATCCATCTCGCTCCATCTTTTCCCACTGCCGGCCACTGGGGTTCCTCTCATCACCATATTTGGTAGTGAGTGGAAATGCCAACCGGATGCTTCACATTTATACATCCAGTGAAATATCTGGCTCATTGTTCTATCTGTGCCTGAAGCTCTCCCAGTTTGTCCTTCCTGCGCATCCGCAGCCCCCTGGAGGAGAGCGAGGAGGGCTCCACACAGACTGGCAAAGAGAACCAGGGTCAGGTGTGTACAGACTGAGGGCTTGGAAGTGTGCTCTTCAGAGAGAAAGGTACAGTAAATTGCAGAGAAACAGATGAGAGTTGTAGATTTGTGTCTTCTTATGGTGATCGATGTGGACTGTTATGAGATAGCAGTAAGTGTGTTTTGGAGGGTAAGTGCGTGTTTTGGAGGGTAAGTGTGTGTATACTTTGGGGGTATACAATAGGTGTGTATTATGAGTAAACATCAGAGGCCAGAAGTGTGTGCTTGTATTCTCACTCTCCTTTGACCTTCTCTCTATTCAGACAAACCCAGACAAATCAGCATCAGGCGTGAGAGAATGTCTTTCCAGCCCTGCTGTGCAGAGAACCTTCTTTGGGGGAGCGAAAGGGTGGGTGAGAGTTTTTTTGGAGTTTTGTATGCAGTGTCACACACTGTCAAACAGATTAAACAACATTTTGATAAAGACAGTATTGAATTAATAAATATATTACAGAATATTACTTACACCTTGGTTTGTGTGGGTCTGAGCTGGACAGCTGGTATGGTCCTCGCAGCTTCCCAGGCTGCCAGGTGCTCCTTTCCACTTATTTTTCTCCCAGTCGCACCTTATCCTCTGGCACTCAGAATACAGCAACCCCTACCCCTCCCACAGCCAAGCCAGATACAGCAATCCCTCCCACAGCCAAGCCAGATACAGCAATCCCTCCCACAGCCAAGGCAGATACAACTACCCCTACCCCCAACAAGGGCAAGCCAGAGGCTCATACAGCTACCCCCAACAAAGGCAAGCAACTGGGAAATACGGGAAATATACACCCTCACACAGGTGAACACCTCAGCTGTCAGAAATACCTAGCCCAATAAAGGACTAAAGGAGCCTAATGTTACTCCTTATAGTCCAGGACCTTACATGTTCTGTTTAGAGGCCAATTGGCTTTGGAAGCCATAATAGCCAAATACTCCATCTATACGTGAATCGATTCTCAATTGCGGTACGGTTCTAGAAACATAAATCCCTATACTTTCATATCATATCAAAATAATTTCACAAATGCAAAATATACACTTACTGTCATGACTTCCTCCGAAGTTGCAACCTCTCCTTGTTCGGGCAGGCTTCGGCGTTCGTCGTCACCGGCCTTTTAGCCACTGCCGCTCCTCATCTCATCATTCCATTTGTTTTGTCTTGTTTTTACACACACCTGGTTCATATCCCCTCATCAGTACCTGTATAAGTGTTCCCTCTGCCCCCTTGTATTTGTGTGTGATTGTTTATTGTGGAGGATAGCTAAGCTCGGTGGAGCTCCTTGTATTTTGTATTGCCGGGATATTTCCCTGTGTGTCTTGTATTTTCCAGTGCGCCTGTTTTGCACACTAGAGTGTTTGATGCATTTCTGCGTAACTCTGTATTTGCGGAATAAAGCCTGTTATTCTGTGATTTACCCTCCTGCGCCTGACTCCTTCGACATCACCTCATCACACTTACTGTACACTGTTTTAACCGGTTTTAACACATTTGCAGCCAACAGTATTTTTCAGTGACAACTCGTTTGTGGTGTCCGTCTTTCGTTTACACACAGGTGTTCGGAGACGCAGATAGCTAATTAGCACAGGTAGTCCACTGTCTTCCATCTGTTTTCTGTAAACAAGCGCTGTAACATGGCAATATGGCCGTGTTGGAACCCTAACCCTATAAAGGTGCATTGTAATTCAACCTTTTTGTTTTTTGAAAATAATTTATCGCTGATATGAAAGACACGCTCCTAACACGCAAGCGATGCGTGTTAATGTTTAGAGCAAGCGTCGGGGCTCTTAACAAAACTCCCCCGGTCAGAAGATACTATCGTCAATAGTCGCTAAAGCAGTTAGCGTTTATGAATGGGGTAAGAAATACCATGCATCAAGCTTGAGAAACACTGAGCTTGAGAAATTATAAATGGTCATGTTTTTCAGCTTCAAGGGAAATACTCCTGAAAGACAGCTGAAGAGAAAACCAAACTCCAAAATCAGGTATTCTTTTATACATCAGCCCATGGATAATTTTGTGAGGGTAAGCTTATCCTACATCTGCACTTAGGGGCAGCTTCCAGCTCGCACGTATCTGTCGGTGCACAGCATTAATCTGTCCTTTACCTCCCTCTGTCAGGCAGAACCAGCTACATGTCACCACTTTTAGTAAGCAGAGAGAACCTGCAGTCAGTAAGGGGCCTACAGCTACCCCACAACACATTTGATTTCATATGATACTACCAACTTTTTCAGCCCTACCGATCTAAAGAACCTGTTGGCGCATGTTATAAAATATTTATAAAGTCAGTTTTGTTTATAAATTCTGTTGAATTTAAGCAACAGCCACTAGTCTCTTGTATGCGCAGGTCCAATAATATCCACTTCACTTTCATGTGTGGCAGCTTTAACATGATTGGTTGACGGTAGTACATCCAACCTTCACATCTAGCTTCTTCACCTGCGGGATCTTTGGGGGGGGGGGTTGCATTGCTGAGGAGTATTTCTGTCTGTAATAAAGGCCATTTGGCGGTAAAATCTAATTCTGATTGGCTGGGCCTGGCTCCCCAGTGGGTGGAATATTCCAAGAAAGCAAAATGACGTTGAAAATACGTATTTTCCAGAGGTTGAAATCAGGTTCATTTTCGGTTCTGAATGAAAGTTGAAAACACTTATTTTCCTGATGTTGAAAATACGTATTTTAAAGACGTTGAAAATATGTATTTTCCGGATGTTGAAATCAGGTTCATTTTTCGTTCTGAATGAAAGTTGAAAATAAGTAATTTATAGACGTCTATGTTTGGGTCAAATCAAGGCTGGTCCAGATTGGACAAGATCTGAACCAAACATAGACAGACGTCTATGATTGGTTCAGATTCGGTCTGGACCGGACAAAAAAACTATGTCCCTGGATGTGGAAATCAAGGCCGGTCCGGAACTGCACCAAAAAAAGACGTCCAAAAGATGTCGGCTCGTACTTACTGGGGTGTAGCCTACCATGTCAGCCCACAATGGAATTTTAGGAATGCCCATCCATGTGGTAGGCCCACCGTTTGTAAAACAGGCCACCATTGCATTGGCTTTATTAGTCCTGATTCCTGTGACTAATCAATTTGGCCATTTAAGCTCTGAATATCAGCTAGTAGATAACCAACTTTATCAGGAGTTATCGTGAGCCTTTTTGTAATGCTTTTACACAGTGAGAAATGCAGAAGTATTTTTTTTCCCGCTATGATCAGCTTGTCAAAAATTGACAGATACAAACTTGAACCCACTGATCATGACAATGTGGTGAAACTCCTGGACAACAGTTGTGATTGTCCATTCCATATTGTCCATTTTACTTTGACCTGTCCAGTTTTTAGTATATGTTGTTTGTTAACATGACAGCTAATTTTTTATTTGATTGAGCGCCATTTAGGTTAGGCTATTTGATCAGAGAAACTTGCATGATGTAAAAAGTGTCCGTCTCATTACATTGTCATACATGTTATCTCCAGCCTGTAGGCTACAGAAAAGGCCACATACTCTTTCTACCATATCCTATATCTGCTACATTATTTATGTTAGATACATTTTTTGACGGAACGTTGGTGAAGTGCTGCAGAGTCTCTCCAACAGCACCCTGGAGAGGCATGCTGGGAATGGACAAGCAAAATATTTTGCTCCCCTGCCTTTGACAAAGTGGGCACTGCTTATCAAAGGGCGGCATCAGCGCTCACCTAAAAAGCCCATATGCCACCGGTTGTGAGAAATTGTCATTGATTTTGGGCAGAATTATGTGAATTATATTGATTTATTGTGCTCCTTCAATTTTGTTTGGTGCCTAACGTTTTGAAAGTTGGGAGCAGTGTGTGTTTGTGAGAGAGAGAGTGGTGTGTGTGTGTTTATGAAAGTGAGGGAGACAGGGAGTGTGTGAGGAAGGGAGAAGGGAGAGTGTCTGTGTTAACTGAAGTGTAAAGGTTTCATGCAGTGTTTTATCATTACTGACACAATGACATGCAGATCATTATGCATGTATAATCCTTCCTCCCATTCCTCCAGCCAAATCACAGGTAGGCCTTTGAAAGTATGAGCAAATCAGCCATTCTATGCAGTATTCTATTATACACTGAACAGTGTGAAGTTAAATTAAATGTGTTGGATTGAGTAGAAGTGTGAATTTCAGTGACCAGGTTTTTGGAGAACGTTTAGAAAATGTGCACAAGCGTCCGGGGGACAGGGTGAACAGGATGCTAGGCCACAGATCTCTTTTTACAGTGGTATTGCGATACTACTCGGTATCGTGATACTTGCCCTGGTATCTTATCGTTTGTAAAAATGTTGGTATCGTGACAACACTACTGCCCTCTCTGCTCCTTCAGGTTCCCTCTGTCCCACATCCAGATGCACGCCAGTACCTGTGGAGACCACGTGGACTCCCATGTCATCTGGGTGGACTAGGAAAGACTGCATTGTATATTTACACGTTTCTGCTTTTAATCAGTGGGCAGTGCAGCAAACGTGGATACACTATTGTTTTTAATATACTGTATTTTTAATATACCTATTACATATTGTATAGTATAAACAACATCAACGATAAACTGTGTTCAGGACATCTATTTCAGAAGTAATCAATCATAATTGAAATGATCAATTCATTTTTGATTTATCTGGGCTTGTTGGCTGCTCCTTGTCTTTTTTTCACCACTCTGAACTTGTTCCACAGGGAACATTAATGACTGCTGCTACCTGTTAGTTAACAGCTGTCTCACCTGCAGCATTTCCACTGGGGAGCGTTGCAGTGTTAATGTTAATAGAGGCTTGGTAAGGAAGGCAAGGGCCACTCCCTGGTTTGGGCCTAGCCAGGCGTGAAACACACTGAAATGGTTGCTTTTTAATTGGTCTTGTCCCAGGGGAGTAGAGATGTGTTATTTGGATTGTGGGGAGTCATTCTAACCAAGCTCTGTGTAGTCAGCCGAGAGCACATGACCACAGTGATCCATTTTCTGCACACTGACTGAGCCCAAAACAGCAGTCAGCGGACCCCACTGCCGTTCTCTCCTACCCTTCTCAGCCTCAAGAATAACCAGGGCGCTTGGATTTCCACCGATAATGTGAGATCATCTTCATACTAGGGACAATTACTCCATTATCTGTCCATTTTACTGAAGAAACATGGAAAACCTCACAGTGAGTGTATTTGAAATAAACTTTTCATAGAAAAGAAAGATGTTATGCAATTGATTGAAATATGTGCATGTATTCTAATGTTAAAAAAAAATCATGTAATAGAATTTGTTTGTTTATAATACTCTAATAAACTTCAATTGTAAAGTTCCTTTCTTACATTATTTGCACTTTGCAGCCCAAAGTGCTCTACAAACGATTAAAAAGCAGTGAATATTTGTTTTATGCAAAGAATGAAAGAAAAGGACATTAAGAATTAATATGAACAGATTATTACTGATCGTCTTGGTGATATCTTGCCATTTTATCTAGGGATGGTCCACATAATAATATGACATGTTTTCTACTTATGTCTTCATAGTGTATATTCCTGTTAAATGCTCAGATCATAATAATAATAATAATAATAATTCATTTAATTTGTAAAGTGCTTTTATCACACTCAAGGTGCTAAATTATTAATAGCATTATAATGCTATTGTCCTACTGTATAATACCTGCTTGGTAATCCCATTTATGAATGTCAATGTTCTTATTTAGGCTACCCAGGGTAGACAAATGATTAGTGATGTGTCATATTTTATTATAAATATTTGTATTAATTAAAGCTAGAATCCTTAATTGAATCAATAACAAAGCATTTTCCACGCCCCTGTTTCGCAAAAAAGTTAAGGGATGGGGCTGGAGAAATGTAACCACCCTCAAATGTATAGACGGAGCTATGCACGCAAGGATTGACCATCCATGATATCAAATGAATAGTTTTAACCATGTTTTGAGGATATACAGTGATTGTTTACATTTTTAGGGTTCTGATGGGGTACGATAGTTGAACTAAGCTCATGAGACATTTCTAAGTTATTTTCTTCTAGAATCAATGGGTATACAGTGAGGGAAAGTTTGCCCAAGTTTGCCCAAGCTGATTTTGTAAGTTTGCCCACTGACAAAGAAATGATCAGTCTATAATTTTAATGGTAGGTTTATTTGAACAGTGAGAGACAGAATAACAAAAAAAATATCCAGAAAAAACGCATGTCAAAAATGTTATAAATTGATTTGCATTTTAATGAGGGAAATAAGTATTTGACCCCCTCTCAATCAGAAAGATTTCTGGCTCCCAGGTGTCTTTTATACAGGTAACGAGCTGAGATTAGGAGCACACTCTTAAAGGGAGTGCTCCTAATCTCAGTTTGTTACCTGTATAAAAGACACCTTTCCACAGAAGCAATCAATCAATCAGATTCCAAACTCTCCACCATGGCCAAGACCAAAGAGCTCTCCAAGGATGTCAGGGACAAGATTGTAGACCTACACAAGGCTGGAATGGGCTACAAGACCATCGCCAAGCAGCTTGGTGAGAAGGTGACAACAGTTGGTGCGATTATTCGCAAATGGAAGAAACACAAAATAACTGTCAATCTCCCTCGGCCTGGGGCTCCATGCAAGATCTCACCTCGTGGAGTTGCAATGATCATGAGAACGGTGAGGAATCAGCCCAGAACTACACGGGAGGATCTTGTCAATGATGTCAAGGCAGCTGGGACCATAGTCACCAAGAAAACAATTGGTAACACACTACGCCGTGAAGGACTGAAATCCTGCAGCGCCCGCAAGGTCCCCCTGCTCAAGAAAGCACATATACAGGCCCGTCTGAAGTTTGCCAATGAACATCTGAATGATTCAGAGGAGAACTGGGTGAAAGTGTTGTGGTCAGATGAGACCAAAATGGAGCTCTTTGGCATCAACTCAACTCGCCGTGTTTGGAGGAGGAGGAATGCTGCCTATGACCCCAAGAACACCATCCCCACCGTCAAACATGGAGGTGGAAACATTATGCTTTGGGGGTGTTTTTCTGCTAAGGGGACAGGACAACTTCACCGCATCAAAGGGACGATGGACGGGGCCATGTACCGTCAAATCTTGGGTGAGAACCTCCTTCCCTCAGCCAGGGCATTGAAAATGGGTAGTGGATGGGTATTCCAGCATGACAATGACCCAAAACACACGGCCAAGGCAACAAAGGAGTGGCTCAAGAAGAAGCACATTAAGGTCCTGGAGTGGCCTAGCCAGTCTCCAGACCTTAATCCCATAGAAAATCTGTGGAGGGAGCTGAAGGTTTGAGTTGCCATACGTCAGCCTCGAAACCTTAATGACTTGGAGAAGATCTGCAAAGAGGAGTGGGGGCAAAATCCCTCCTGAGATGTGTGCAAACCTGGTGGCCATCTACAAGAAACGTCTGACCTCTGTGATTGCCAATAAGGGTTTTGCCACCAAGTACTAAGTCATGTTTTGCAGAGGGGTCAAATACTTATTTCCCTCATTAAAATGCAAATCAATTTATAACGTTTTTGACATGCGTTTTTCAGGATTTTTTTGTTGTTATTCTGTCTCTCACTGTTCAAATAAACCTACCATTAAAATTATAGACTGATCATGTCTTTGTCAGTGGGCAAACGTACAAAATCATCAGGGGATCAAATACTTTTTTCCCTCACTGTATATAATTAATTTATACGTCCAAAAATGGATGTAGCAGCTAAGGATTCTAGTTTGGATTAATGCTGTTTAGATTTGGAGACATCAAAGCAATAAGCTGTCTCTGTGTCTCCTTGTGGTTTTAGCCAGAGCAATGGCGGGAGATAGTGAACAAGAAGATGCGCTTCCCTCCGGAGCTGATCAGTGCCATCCAGGAGGGGAACATAGTGATGGTGTGTGGCCTGCTGAATACTGGTGATGGTATCATCCGCCAGCTGGATGACTCCGAGGACCGGCTGTGGAGAGAGTCCCTCAACCTGTCCATCCGCCTGGGCAACGAGGACACCATGGACGCCCTCCTCCAGGGCATCAAGTTTGACTTTCGCCAGATCCATGAGGCTCTGCTGGTCGCCGTGGACACCAACCAGCCCCGCGTGGTGAAGAGGCTCCTCGACCGCCTGGACCAGGAGAAGGGCAACAAGATGGACGTGCGATCCTTCTCCCTGGCCATCTTCGACCACTCTATCGACGACTCACAGTTCGCCCCTGGCGTGACCCCGCTGACCCTGGCCTGTCAGAAGGACCTGTATGAGATTGTCACCATGCTGACCCAGAAGGGCCACGTCATCCCACGGCCACACAAGATCTCCTGTGCCTGTCTAGAGTGCAGGAACGGGCGGCAGTATGACCTGCTGAAGTTCTCCCTGTCTCGCATCAACACCTACCGTGGCATTGCCAGTCGGGCCTACCTGTCCATCACCTCAGAGGACGCAATGCTCAGTGCCTTCGGCCTCAGCAAGGAGCTCCGCAAACTCTCCAAGAAGGAACCCGAGTTCAAGGTTAGATCCTGTTTGTGCTTATGCCCATTTAGTCGCTCTGCACAAAGTATGTGGTGTATTACACTGGAACTAATCTCTCGTGGACAGACTATGTAAACATACATTACGCACAATTTTAGTTCTGGGTTAACTGAGATTACCCTGAAACAGGAATATAACTATATAGGGAAATTAATGTTTTCATTGTGAGTAACTATAATTTGCTACCATACCATTACCATATTATTACCATTTTATTCCATGCTGTAATGTGAAGTGCTATTAGGTTGTTTATCTGAGTGATTGTTTGTGTTCTCTCTCTCCCCCAGCCTCAGTACTTGGGTCTGGAGGAGCTGTGCCAGGAGTTTGCAGTGGAGCTGCTGGGAATGTGCCGTAACCAGAGTGAAGTCACCACCATCCTGAACAGCTGTGGAGATGAAAGCCAGGACGCCCTTGACCAGCAGGCCTTTGAGGAGGGCATCCCCAACCTGACCCGCCTTAGGCTCGCCGTCAACTACAACCAGAAACAGGTAGAGCCACAGTCCTCTACGGAGCTAGTAGACAAGACCATCCCTGGGTATTTTATACTGTACATAGGCCTATATTCTGAGTGGTGTTATTTGGGGTGCTGCTGTCATTGATTTATAACGAACATGTTCAGTGAGATGAAAGGTGCAATCCTCTCCATATTTCCAGTTTGTGAATTGTGGCCGCTCTTTCTGTCTTTCTAGTTTGTAGCCCACCCTATCTGCCAGCAGGTGCTGTCCTCTATTTGGTGTGGAAACTTGTCTGGCTGGAGGGGCAGCAGGACGGCATGGAAGCTGCTGGTGTCTGTGGGGATCTTCTTCACCATGCCGCTCCTCTGCCTCGTCTACTGGATCGCACCCAAGTCCAAGGTCAGATGGCCTCAAGTTCTGTAAAGGTGGTGATGTTTTATGGACCTTGTGTGACTCTGTGTGGGTCTGTCTTGGGCCTGCAGATGTATGGGTCCATTTTCTCATGTATTTGCTTTTGGCTATGTATGTACCCTACTGAATTTGTCTCAGGTGGGAAAGATACTGAGGATTCCGGTGATTAAGTTCCTTCTTCACTCTGCCTCCTACATGTGGTTCCTCATCACGTTGTTGGGAGAGTCCATCACCATGGAGTTGTACAGAGACGAATTTGCTTCTCGTCAGCAGAATATTCTGCACAGCTCATTCCACATGGTGTGGGTGGTCGGTGGGTTAGCTATTTCTCCCTTAACACAGACTCTGTTATTACATTGAATATTGAAATACCATAATGAACTACCATAAATACAGTTTGTCCTTTATGGTCGAATGGGGAAATTTACAATTGGGCATACAGCAGTTATCAGTCAAGTGACAGGTCCTCCATTATTGTACTGTCTATCACCTACAGGGTTCTTCTGGTATGAATGTAAGGAGGTGTGGATTGAAGGTCTGCGTAGCTACTTCCTGGACTGGTGGAACTGCATGGACATGATGGTGCTTAGCATGTACCTGGCCTCCTTCACTCTGCGCGTCCTCATCATGCTCAAAGGTCACTTCCTGTGCCAGGCCCCTGACGGGACTGAGGAGTGTGCCTACTTCACCCAGACTGGTGAGAGAAAGATGCTTTATCCAACCAGAGACAGGGATTTGAGTCATTATCATGGTGTTAGATTTGAAGTTGAAGTTTTACCAGGATGGGGGTCCAGTCAATTCAGGAAGTAAACAGAGGAATTTCAGTTTACTTCCTGTTCCAGAATTGACTGAATTGAAATGGAATTGACCCCAATCCTGCAATACATGTTCATGTTTCCTGGGCTAAACTGGCTAATATTGTTTGCCATTGCCCTGTAGTGCGCCAGGACTGGCATCAGGAGGACCCCCAGCTCATAGCTGAGGTGCTGTTTGCAGTGACCAGTATGCTGAGCTTCACCCGCTTGGCCTACATCCTTCCTGCACAGGAGTCCCTGGGCACACTCCAGATCTCCATAGGGAAGATGATCGATGACATGATGAGGTAGGATGAAATGCTCAGGCTATGCTGTCCACCGAGATGTTGTGCAATATATACTGTGAGGTACAGTCTGTCTGTGATTGTGCTGCTTTCCTCACAAAATAAACCAATATTGGTTGGTTGATAGATACAAGTCTCTTTTCTCTCCCAAGGTTCATGTTCATATTGATGATTATTGGAACAGCTTTCCTCTGTGGTATCAATAACATCTATGTTCCTTATGTCACCCAACCATATCTTGGAAGGTAAAGAATATTTTGAAGTACACTATGCTTAACTACATAGCTCCATAATTATCTTATTAAATCATTATGACAATCATAAACCTCCCGACCCTAACTCCATTCCTAAGGTTTAATGAGACCTTTCGTTTCCTGTTCTGGACCATGTTTGGGGTGGCCAACCAGGACTATGTGGACATGCCCAAGTTTGTGGTGGCAGAGTTTGTGGGCAGAGTCCTTTACGGCATCTTCACCCTGGTGATTGTGATCGTGCTGCTCAACATGCTCATTGCCATGATCACCAACTCCTTCCAGAAGATTGAGGTGAGAAAGATTGCACTCAGGAAACTTGGCTCTAGGTTGGTCCACCTCAAGGGCAGGACGGATGCCTTTGAATGGAAGAAACTGCATTCCACTGGAGCAGATAGTGTTTCAAAGCTCAAACTCTAGACCTTTATGATTACACAGTAAAGTTTAGAAGGGATTCTAGGATGGGCCCTGACTGCTGCTTTCTGTACCTGTCCTCTCAGGATGACGCTGACGTTGAGTGGAAATTTGCCCGATCCAAGCTCTATCTGAGTTACTTCCGAGAAGGTCTCACTATGCCTGTCCCCTTCAACATTATCCCCTCTCCTAAGGCCTTCTTCTACCTCATACGGTAGGTCAGGGGTCTCCAACCCTGTTCCTAGAGAGCTACTGTCCTGTAAGTGTTCGCTCCAACCCCAGTTGTAACTAACCTGGTTCAGCTTATCAACCAGCTAATTATTAGAATCAGGTGTGTTAGATTAGGGTTGGAGTGAAAACCTACAGGACGGTTGCTCTCCTGGAACAGGGTTGGATAGCCCTACGGTAGGTTATATCGTTTGTTATACAGCCAACTTCCTCTACCAACAATAGAACAACCTCTATCTCAAAGGTCAGTTTCATCTCATATTTCGTGTTTTCATGTTTATCCCAGGGGTATTTTTCGTCAGATCTGCTGCTGTTGTACTTTGAACTCGACACCAGACTATCCCCCCATAACCTCCATGGTAAGAACTCCACCTCAGCTCATTTGACATGGTCTTGACATACAGAATGCAGACCAATGAGAATGTGTCTGTTCTCTTTGTTGTCCAGTCCAATGAGAAGGAGATGGACGGTGGAGGATCAGGGGAGAACCAGATACCTTACCGCCAGCAGGTGATACGGGCTCTGGTGCAGCGCTACATTGAGTCTGAACGCCGGAAGTTTGAGGAGACCAAGAGAAAAGGTAACCCATAAAGTTTCCTGACCCAGCCTTAGGGCCTTCAAGTCTTCAGTTAAGACATGTTTCTGTGTTAAAGGTCAGTTAAACAGAGAGGAAGTACTGACTTGGCCTCACACACGCACACTCTGTTTAGTACTGTATGTATGTAAATAGCATTGTGGTGCATTCAGTGTCATTGGTTTGGTCTGTTCTTACGTCCTCAGACGTGGGTAATCGGATCACAGAGCTAAACAAGGTGGTGGGCAGGCTGCATGCTGAGATGAAGGCCATCATGCAGGTTCTGGTGGACTCTGGCCAGGCTGCAGGAGACATCCCCAACACTGATGGCTCCTCCATCCTGGGGAAATACATAATGGGAGCCAAGAACAACTTCAGGGGGTTCGACAACAGGCTGGACAACAAACACACACCTCTGCAGGTGGTTGTGGAGATGGGAGAAGAAGGAAAAGTGGCGGAAGAGAAGGCTGGAGCAGTGGTGATACCAGATGACGAAGGGATGGAGATGGAACATGACAGAAAGGTGGAGATAGGAAAGGATGGAGCAGTGCTGATAGCAGAGGAGGGAGGGATGGCAATGGAACAGGAGGTAAAGGATGGAGGGGTGGTGGTCAAACAGGAGGAAAAGGTGGAGGTGGGGCTAGATGGAGCAGAGGGGACAAAGCAGGTAGGAGACATGGATGTTGTGAAGATGGAGGAGGGGAGAATTGATGGAAATAAGGGAGAGAGAAGGGTGGAGGAGGTAGTGAAGCAGTCCGAGGAGAACATGGAAAATGGAGTGAAGGGAGAGGTAAGAGTGGAAAAGATTGTAAAGGAGTCAGAGCACAAGATGGAAAGGAGAGGAGACGGTGACAGGAAGGGGGACAAGGGGATAAAAAAGGCACGCACCAATGAGATGGTGGAGAAAAGGGTGGAGGGAGAGGTCAGTCTGGGTAAGGCAGAAGTAAGGATGGAAGTGAAAGACAAAGGGAAAAAGGTAGATAGCAGTGTGGATAATACAATCTGGGACCAAGGAGTTGTAGGAGGTGACAAAAAGGTTAATGAAATGGGAGGATGTGGGAATGAAGGGAAAGTAGACATGGGACTGGGAGATGTGAAAGAGGTAGAGAGGAAGGTCAAAGCAATGGCACTAAAGGAGAAAAGAGTGGTGGGGAAGATCAATGTGGCAGAGAGGTGGACTAAGGGCCAGGGGAGGGCAGTGGAGGAGAATGTGACTGAGAAGAAGGCTGCCAAGGCTGGCATGGTGGTGGTGGAGAATACTGCCAGGGCTGAGGTGAAGACCCAGGGGGAGAAGGTGGTTCCTTCCCCGACCAGCAGCAGCAGCTCACAGGACACTGGCTTCGGCTCACAGGAAGGGGAGGGGTCCATCGATGGAGGACCAATGAGACCCGCACATCTGAGTGCATCATCTCCAGATTAGAAGTGTCAGCCAGTTAGCATTGTTTCAGTCAACTCCATAGTACAGTAATTGGTTGACCACAGGATATGTTTTACATCAACACAGCAATATACACTTGCAGTAGGTAGCATTGGAACATTTTGCTGTAAAAGGAGGTACAAACCATTAGAAGGCATGTATACTGAACAAAAATATAAACGCAAAATGTAAAGTGTTGGTCCCATGTTTCATGAACTGAACTAAAAGATCCCAGAAATGTTCCATACGCACAAAAAGTGTATTTCTCTCCAATAATGTGCACAAATTTGTTTACGTCCCTGTTAGTGAGCATTTCTCCTTCCCCAAGATAATCCATCCACCTGACAGGTGTGGCATATCAAGAAGTTGATTAAACAGCATGATCATTGCACAGGTGCACCTTGTGCTGGGGACAATAAAAGGCCACTCTAAAATGTACAGTTTTGTCAATCAATCAATCAAATGTATTTATGAAGCCCTTTTTACATCAGCAGATGTCACAAAGTGCTATACAGAAACCCAGCCTAAAACCCAAAACCCCAAACAGCAAGCAATGCAGATGTAGAAGCACGATACAATGCCACAGATGTCTCAAGTTTTGAGGGAGCGTGCAATTGGCATGCTGACTGCAGGATTGTACACCAGAGCTTTTGCCAGAGAATTGAATGTTCATTTCTCTACCATAAGCCGCATCCAACGTCGTTTTAGAGAATTTGGCAGTACGCCCAACCGGCCTCACAACCGCAGACCACGTTTAACCACGCCAGCCCAGGTCCTCCGCATCCGGCTCCTTCACCTACGGGATCGTCTGAGACCAGCCACCCGGGCTACTTTTGAAACTGAGGAGTATTTCTGTCTGTAATAAAGCCCTTTTGAGGTGAAACACTAATTCTGATTGGCTGAGCCTGGCTCCCCAGTGGGTCGGTCTTGCTCCCAAGTGGGTGGGCCTATGCCCTTCCAAGCCCACCCATGGCTGCGCCCTGGCCCAGTCATGTGAAATCCATAGATTAGGGCCTACTGAATTTATTTCAATTGACTGATATCCTTATATGAACTGTAACTCAGTAGAATCTTTGAAATTGTTGCGTTTATGTTTTTGTTCAGTATGTATACACACTATTGTTAAGTGATGTAGCCTAATGAAACATTATCTGTGAACACCTAGCGAGACATATGTCTGTCCCGTTTGGACCACCTGTTTGAGACAGGTACTTACTCTTATTCATTGCAATTATAGACATTACAAACTAACAATTAAAAAGCAAAGAGAATGACCTTAAAAGTGAATTACAAAAAGCTATCTCACTTTAAATACACCTTTTGAAACCAATATTAAAATACCAAAAATATACATTGTGCCCTTGTGTGTTCATTATATAAAGTAAATTATTTCACGAAGACTGGCAACAGTGCATTCTGAAAGTATTCAGACCCCTTTTCCACATTGTTACGTTATAGCGTTACTCTAAAATGGATTAAATATTTTTTTCTTATCAATCTACACACAATACCTAATAATGACAAAGCGAAAACAGGTTTTTAGAAATGTTGGCAAATGTATTAAATATAGAAAACAGATACCTTATTTACATAAGTATTCAGACCCTTTGCTGTGAGACTTGAAAATTGATCTCAGGTGCATCCTGTTTCCATTAATCATCCTTGATGTTTCTACAACTTGATTGGAATCCACCTGTGGTAAATTCAAATGATTGGACATGATTTGGACAGGCACACACCTGTCTATATAAGATCCCACAGTTGACAGTGAATGTCAGAACAAAAACCAAGCCATGAGGTCGAAGGAATTATTTGTAGAGCTCCGAGACAGGATTGTGTCGAGGCACAGATCTGGGGAAGGGTACCAAAACATTTCTGCAGCATTGAAGGTCCCCAAGAACACAGTGGCCTCCATCATTCTTAAATGGAAGAAGTTTGGAACCACCAACTCTACCTAGAGCTGGCCGCCCGGCAATACTGAGCAATTGGGGGAGAAGGGCCTTGGTCAGGGAGGTGACCAAGAACCCGATGGTCACTCTGACAGAGCTCCAGAGTTCCTCTGTGGAGATGGCAGAACCTCCCAGAAGGACAACCATCTCTGCAGCACTCCACCAATCAGGCCTTTATGGTAGTGGCCAGACTGCCAAGCGTCACATCTGGAGGAAACCTGGCACCATCCCTAAGGTGGAGCATGGTGGTGGCAGTATCATGCTGTGGGGATGTTTTTCAGCAACAGGGACCGGGAGACTAGTCAGGATCGAGAGAAAGATGAGCGAAGCAAATTACAGAGAGATCCTTGATGAAAACCTGCTCCAGAGCGCTCAGGACCTCAGACTGGGGCGAAGGTTCACCTTCCATCAGGACAACGACCTTAAGCACACAGCCAAGACAACGCAGGAGTGGCTTCGGGACAAGTCTCTGAATGTCCTTGAGTGAACCAGCCAGAGCCCAGACATAGTAAAGGGTGTGAATACTTACGTAAATATTATTTTATATATATATATATATATTTTTTTTTTTTGTCATTTAGCAGACGCTCTTATCCAGAGCGATTTACAGTTAGTGAGTGCATACATTATATATATATTTTTTTTGTTTTGTGTATTTTTTTTATACTGGCCCCCCGTGGGAATCGAACCCACAACCCTGGCGTTGCAAACGCCATGCTCTACCAACTGAGCTACATCCCTGCCGGCCATTCCCTCCCCTACCATGGACGACGCTGGGCCAATTGTGCGCCGCCCCATAAATGTGATATTTCCGTTTTTATAACATTTGCATCAATTAATAAAAAACAGTTTTTGCTTTGTCATTATGGGGTATTGTGTGTAGTTTGAGGGGGGGACAATTTAATCCATTTTAGAATAAGGCTGTAACGAAACAAAATGTGGAAAAGTCAAGGGGTCTGAAAACTTTCCGAATGCACTGTATACAGCTCTGACAGTCTCTTCCCTGTTGTTAAAGATGATTAATCTTTCCTCAGTCCCCTTTGCCCCCTCATCAGGCTGTGTTAGTCTGTTTGTATCTTTATGTTGCTATGTGCAGGTCTCAGCTTGCAGAACACCTTCCTCTCCCCAGAGGTTGCCGCAGCAGCAGCTCATTAATTCATCACCTGGAGCATCACATTCCCTCCTGTCCCCAGGCTGTACACAACACCGGAGTTCCTCCACTGTGGAAAAAAACTACCTGGCCTTTAGCACTCAGACTTTCAAAATCTTAGCTAGCAGTCATGAATCAAGTCGACAATCTACCGGAAATCCTTTTCAATCCGTGTCATATGAAAATAAATTATAGATAATAATAATATGCCACTTAGCAGACGCTTTTATCCAACGCGACTTAGTCGTGTGTGCATACATTTGTGTGTATGGGTGGTCCCGGGGATCGAACCCACTACCCTGGCGTTACAAGCGCCATGCTCTACCAGCTGAGCTACAGAGGACCACAAACGGTGTTTATCAGCCATTGGACAAACATTACACTAGTTCAAAATCTCAAAATCAACAATGAGTGGTTTGGAAGGAATCGGTACCTAACTGCAAACATTGCAAAGCAATCACTAGCCTGCTATTCCGTTTTTATTTTATTTTTATTTAGTGGAGTGGATGTGTGGTCCAAGTCTGGGTTTAAGGGTATCTTTTCCAAGATAAGGATAAACATTGGCCATGCTGTCAATCCAGCATGATTTCTGCCGCTTTCAGAACAACTGGAATCTCGGAAATCTCAGACCACTGGGTATTCCAAATCGGGAACTCAGGCCTCTTTCAGAGTTCCGACCTGAAGATCACGAACATTATGATTCAACCTTGTTTTCCCCCCCATAGAGTACCCAGTTGTTTTGAAAGCGCCAAAAATCCAGAGAATGCCAGACTTTAATGACAGAATTTGCCCACGAAGGACCGCCGCACCACCTTCCTGTTCAAGTGAGCACACCACAACAAGGTGAGTCCAAAAATGTATTGTATACTGCTGTATAAATGATGTAATATTCCAGGGAGATATGTATACTGTAGCTATGAAAGTAATACTAAGTGGAAGTAAGCCGTTAGTAGCCCATGTTCCTAACCCTAATAATTTGGCCCCTTTTCCCATAATTTAGCCTACTGTTCTGAATTGGTGGTGCACATGTAGCCTATAGCCTGTTTTAGAGAAATGTCAAATATTGTAAGAGCTTTCATTGTCTGCTTATATGCCCCTTTAATAATCCTATGGTTCTGACTTGGTGTACAGGTAGAATACTGTAAGAACGGCCCATTTTCTGAATTCTGTCGCTGTATATTTCAAAAGTGCTGAACAAATAGTTAATGACTACGTCCGTCCGTCCTAGCTCACGGTCTTAATCAAAATTACGGATTGCCTCCTGTCTGCTCGTCATCCCCTTATGCCATAGTTTGTACATCTATATTGTCAGTAGAAACCACATGTTTGAGCAAGTCAGCCATATCAGCTATGTTTGTTTTAAAGGCAGTAAATTAGGCTGAATTAACTGTTTTGCTACCAGACAAGGCTCCGCTGATAGCCAGGTGTAGCAGTGGTAAATTGTTGGGACAGCTTTATGTAGGCCCTAACAGTTTGTGTCACCGTTTGAGTACAATTAATGTATTGTTTAGTGTTGTGTCGTGGCTTTGCTGGCATGCATCTAAAACATTTGTTTTGAGTTTGCCCCAACAAGATTCATGATAAAGTCACCACTGAACTACCATGTACCTTACCAGAAGTACCACAGGACATTGCATGAACACCAAAACTTATTCACAAAGCATTCACCCCCTCCCCAACAGGTAAAATACACCATTGAAGTTCATTAGATTTTCATTCAACAAGTTATGAAATCATTAGATTTACATATTAACATTGGAGTTCATACTTTAAAAAACCCAACGAAATGAAACACTGAATTCTATACAAAACAAGCAGACAAACAGCTCCACACAGACAGTGCACCCAAGAGCGATAAATAGAAAACTGCTTACAGTTAATAATCTGTGATAAGCGGAGAGAGACAGAAGTGCACCATGTACAGCACTAGTTAGGCTACAGTTGCATGCCCACAACACAAACATAAGAGTGAGCCTGTGATCTGACATCAGGGCAGATAACTATGATATTACCTGACCTAAAGGCAATCAGAGTGGGGTTCAATGATATTGAGGAGTTCAGTGGTCCACTGCTATGGTTAATTAACTACAGAGCGAGGATAGGGGAAGGAGTCAGGGGCCGGTCTAAGAGCCACACATCAGGCAGTCGTCACGGTTCTCCAGGGAACACACCATAACGGCTCTGTTGATCTCCTCGTTCTTAGCCGACTGGGACTCCTTCAGCTTCTCCTTGTTCAGGGTGAACTGGATGGGGTTGGCTGCAGGCTTGGTCCTCAGGTAGTACATGCCCGTCTTCAGACCCTGAGAAAAGAGGTTCATGCTTTATCTTGATGAACAGCAGAGTTCAGTTTATATTTCACACTACTTTGGTCCTCCGAAGTTGCCTCCCTAGCCAGCTTTTTCTCCCTTTTGTAAGTGCTATCAAATCACTCCAAGTGCCCACTGTCCTCGGCGTAGACATAGCCCTGTCACGCGCTGCCCCTCATGACACAGGCTCGACACTTAGTCGGACTGCAACGCCTCAAGTAGTAATTTTAGCCCAGGGTTAAGGATAGCCCTGAGCTGAGACCATGTAGTGTTCTATAGATTTCAATAGTCAAGCCGACTCACCTGCTTCCAGCCGTAGAAGTGCATGCTGGTGAGCTTGCCGTAGTTGGGCTCAGCGATGTGGATGTTGAGGGACTGGCTCTGGTCTATGAAGGCACCGCGGTCGGCAGCCATCTTCAGAATAGTCTTCTGGGAGATCTCCCACACAGTCTTATACAGCTCCTTCAGGTCATCTGGGATCTCAGCAATGCCCTAAAGACAAGTAACAATGGTGTTAGAACAATGACTACTGAAAAGGATAACGCTTTTAAAAAGTTACGCGACAACCTACACAAAATACAGTCAATAGGGCATAATTGCACTAATTGCTATTCATTGATTAGAGCTGTAATGTGATGGGTCTGGGTTCTCACCTGGATGGATCCGTTCTGACCAATCAGCTGGTTCTTCATCTCCTCGTTCCACAGCCCTCGCTCTGTTAGGTCCTTCAACAGGTGGGGGTTCACAATCTGCAGGTGACACGAAGAACATTAGTGATTCACACACACTAGCTTTTCACACACCCCTACTCAAACCCTTCAAGTGTTTGAGTATGCAGTGTATGTAAGCAGAGGTCTAAGTGTCTGTGGAACCCCCAGAGAGTGATACTGACCTGGAACTCTCCAGAGAGGACTCTGCGGGTGTAGATGTTGCTGGTGTAGGGTTCGATGGACTCGTTGTTGCCCAGGATCTGGGCTGTGGAGGCCGTGGGCATGGGGGCCAGCAGCAAACTGTTCCTGACACCATGCCTGGATGGGGGAGTGAAGTGGTGATGAGACAAAGGCTAGGACATTTAAGTACACATGGAGGGCTTGGTTGGTCATGTATGTGTTGAGACTAGCTGTAGTTGTATTGGTAAAATGGAGGACAAGGTTGACAACTTACTTGGCAATCTTTTCCTTGAGAAGTTTCCAGTCCCACAGGTCAGTTGGGGTTTTGTCCCACATGTCGTACTGAAGAATCTATGGAAAAATTATAACAGTTTAAGCCTAAGAGACCAACCAGAAACACCTGAAATTACCGATTGACAAGTTAACCAAAAACAGACCTAACATCCCAGTTAGGTTTTAGCGTGGAGGTACTCACTCCTTTGCTGACGGGGGAGCCTGGGTAGGTTTGGTAGGCACCAAGCTCAGCAGCCAGCTCACAGCTGGACTCCAGGGCAGCGTAGTAGATGGTCTCAAAGATCTGAGTGTTGAGCTTCTGGGCCTCAGCACTCTCAAAGGGGAAACGCATCAGAATGAAGGCATCAGCCAGACCCTGGACACCAATACCAATGGGCCTGTGGCGCTTGTTGGAGTTCTCAGCCTGGTTAGAGAGAGAATGACAGGCATGTGGAATCAGTTACTGGTCAACATGAAGATCTAACTTGTAAAATCCTCTGTCTTGCTGAGCATTATCAGTAACAATACATTTAATTCTAGACCTTACCTCAATCACAGGGTAGTAGTTGATCTCGATGATCTTGTTGAGGTTCCTAACGATGACCTTGCTGACGTAGGCCAGCTTGTTGAAGTCAAAGGTTCTCTCTGGGGTGACGTACATGTTGAGGGCGATGGACGCCAGGTTACACACTGCCACCTGAGATTGGGAAACAGGAGCCAGATTGATTAGCATCACACTTTAAACAGTTGTTTTGTGTGATCAACGTTTGTATTTATTTTTCAGCAATATACATATCGAAGGATGTCATTCAAAACGTTTTGGGATTAAGTATGGATATTTTTAAAAAGCCATCAGTCTTGGGTGATAGATAGGGATGGGCATTTGACATTTTTTGACTGAGTACTCGCATAATTTTTCAGAGTACTCGCGTGAAGAAAAAAATAAGACATACATACACTACCGGTCAAAAGATTTAGAACACCTACTCATTCAAGGGTTTCTTTATTTTTACTATTTTCTACATTGTAGAGTAATAGTGAAGACATCAAAACTATGAAATAACACATGGAATCATGTAGTAACCAAAAAAAGTGTTAAACAAATCAAAATGTATTTCGAAGTAGCCACCTTGATGACAGCTTTGCACACTTGGCATTCTCTCAACCAGCTTCATGAAGAATGCATTTCCAACAGTCTTGAAGGAGTTCCCACATATGCTGAGCACTTGTTGGCTGCTTTTCCTTCACTCTGTGGTCCAACTCATCCCAAACCATCTCAATTGGGTTGAGGTCGGGGGATTGTGGAGGCCAGGTCATCTGATGCAGCACTCCATCACTCTCCTTGGTGAAATAGCTCTTACACAGCCTGGAGGCGCGTTTTGGGTCATTGTCCTGTTGAAAAACAAATGATAGTCCCACTAAGCCCAAACCAGATGGGATGGCGTATCGCTGCAGAATGCTGTGGTAGCCATGCTGGTTAAGTGTGCCTTGAATTCTAAATAAAAAATCACTAATAGCGTCACCAGCAAAGAACCCCCACACCATCACACCTCCATGCTTCACGGCAGGAACCACACATGCGGAGATCATAAGTTCACCTACTCTGCGTCTCACAAAGACACGGCGGTTGGAACCAAAAATCTCAAATTTTGACTCAGACCAAAAGGACAGATTTCCACCAGTCTAATGTCCATTGCTCATGTTTCTTGGCCCAAGCAGATCTCTTCTTATTGGTGTCCTTTAGTAGTGGTTTCTTCGCTGCAATTTGACCATGAAGGCCTGGTTCACAGTCCCCTCTGAACAGTTGATGTTGAGAAGTGTCTGTTACTTGAACTCTGAAAAATGTATTTGGGCTGCAATTTCTGAGGCTGGTAACTAACTTCTCCTCTGCAGCAGAGAACTCTGGGTTTCATCATAGCGATTGATGGTTTTTGCAACAGCACTTGAAGAAACTTTCAAAGTTCTTGAAATTCTCCATATTGACTGACCTCCTTGTCTTAAAGTAATGGACTGTCGTTTCTCTTTGCTTATTTGAGCTGTTCTTGCCATAATATGGACTTGGTATTTTACCAAATAGGGCTCTCTTCTGTATACACCCCACCTTGTCACAACAACTGATTGGCTCAAAACGCATTAAGGAAAGAAATTCCACAAATTAACTTTTAAGAAGACACACCTGTTAATTTAAATACATTCCAGGCGACTACCTCATGAAGCTGGTTGACAGAATGCCAAGGGTGTGCAAAGCTGTCAAGGCAAAAGGGTGGCTACTTTGAACAATCTCAAAAAAATATATATATTTTGATTGGTTTAACACTTTTTTGGTTACTACATGATTCCATATGTGTTTTTTCATAGTTGAGGTCTTCACTTCTTAAAAATAAAGAAAAACCCTGGAATGAGTAGGTGTCCAAACTCTCATTTACATACATATACACAGTGGGGGAAAAAAGTATTTAGTCAGCCACCAATTGTGCAAGTTCTCCCACTTAAAAAGATGAGGCCTGTAATTTTCATCATAGGTACACGTCAATTATGACAGACAAATTGAGAAAAATAAATCCAGAAAATCACATTGTAGGATTTTTTATGAATTCATTTGCAAATTATGGTGGAAAATAAGTATTTGGTCACCTACAAACAAGCAAGATTTCTGGCTCTCACAGACCTGTAACTTCTTCTTAAAGAGGCTCCTCTGTCCTCCACTCGTTACCTGTATTAATGGCACCTGTTTGAACTTGTTATCAGTATAAAAGACACCTGTCCACAACCTCAAACAGTCACACTCCAAACTCCACTATGGCCAAGACCAAAGAGCTGTCAAAGGACACCAGAAACAAAATTGTAGACCTGCACCAGGCTGGGAAGACTGAATCTGCAATAGGTAAGCAGCTTGGTTTGAAGAAATCAACTGTGGGAGCAATTATTAGGAAATGGAAGACAAGACCACTGATAATCTCCCTCGATCTGGGGCTCCACGCAAGATCTCACCCCGTGGGGTCAAAATGATCACAAGAACAGTGAGCAAAAATCCCAGAACCACACGGGGGGGACCTAGTGAATGACCTGCAGAGAACTGGGACTAAAGTAACAAAGCCTACCATCAGTAACACACTACGCCGCCAGGGACTCAAATCCTGCAGTGCAAGACATGTCCCCCTGCTTAAGCCAGTACATGTCCAGGCCCGTCTGAAGTTTGCTTGAGTGCATTTGGATGATCCAGAAGAGGATTGGGAGAATGTCATATGGTCAGATGAAACCAAAATAGAACTTTTTGGTAAAAACTCAACTCGTCGTGTTTGGAGGACAAAGAATGCTGAGTTGCATCCAAAGAACACCATACCTACTGTGAAGCATGGGGGTGGAAACATCATGCTTTGGGGCTGTTTTTCTGCAAAGGGACCAGGACGACTGATCCGTGTAAAGGAAAGAATGAATGGGGCCATATATCGTGAGATTGAGTGAAAACCTCCTTCCATCAGCAAGGTCATTAAAGATGAAATGTGGCTGGGTCTTTCAGCATGACAATGATCCCAAACACACCGCCCAGGCAACGAAGGAGTGGCTTCGTAAGAAGCATTTCAAGGTCCTGGAGTGGCCTAGCCAGTCTCCAGATCTCAACCCCATAGAAAATCTTTGGAGGGAGTTGAAAGTCCGTGTTGCCCAGCGACAGCCCCAAAACATCACTGCTCTAGAGGAGATCTGCATGGAGGAATGGGCCAAAATACCAGCAACAGTGTGTGAAAACCTTGTGAAGACTTACAGAAAACGTTTGACCTGTGTCATTGCCAACAAAGGGTATATAAAAGTATTGAGAAACTTTTATTATTGACCAAATACTTATTTTCCACCATAATTTGCAAATAAATTCATTAAAAATCCTACAATGTGATTTTCTGGATTTTTTCCCCTCATTGTCTGTCATAGTTGACGTGTACCGATGATGAAAATTACAGGCCTCTCATCTTTTTAAGTGGGAGAACTTGCACAATTGGTGGCTGACTAAATACTCCCCCCCACATTACAAACGTATATGTACATATATACACACAGTGCCTTCGGAAAGTATTCAGACCTTGACTTTTTCCACATTTTGTTATGTTACAGCCTTATTCTAAAAATGGATTAAATAAATAACAATCCTCAGCAATCTACGGACAATACCCCATAATGACAAAGCGAAAACTTTTATAAATATAAAAAACTGAAATACCTTATTTACATAAGTATTCAGACCCTTTGCTATGAGACTCGAAATTGAGTTCAGATACATCCCGTTTCCACTGATCATCCTTAAGATGTTTTTACAACTTGGAGTCCACCTGTGGTAAATTAAATTGATTGGACATGACTTGGAAAGGCACACCTGTCTATACAAGGTCTCACAGTTGACAGTACATGTCAGAGCAAAAACCAAGCCATGAGGTCAAAGGAGTTGTCCGTAGAGCTCCGAGACAGGATTGTTCCGAGGTACAGATCTGGGGAAGGGTACCAAAAAAATGTCTGCAGCATTGAAGGTCCCCAAGAACACAGTGGCCTTCATCATTCTTAAATGGAAGACGTTTGGAACCACCAAGACTCTTCCTAAAGCTGGCCGCCCAGCCAAACTGCGCAATCGGGGGAGAAGGGCCTTGGTCAGGGAGGTGACCAAGAACCCGATGGTCACTCTGACAGAGCTCCAGAGTTCCTCTGTGGAGATGGGAGAAACTTCCAGAATGACAACCATCTCTGCAGCACTCCACCAATCAGGCCTTTATGGTAGAGGGGCCAGGCAGAAGCCACTCCTCAGTAAAAGGCACATGACAACACGCTTGGAGTTTGCCAAAAAGCACCTAAAGACTCTCAGACCATGTGAAACAAGATTCTCTGGTCTGATGAAAGCAAGATTGAACTCTTTGGCCTAAATGTCAAGCGTCATGTCTGGAGGAAACCTGGCACCATCCCTACTGTGAAGCATGGTGGTGGCGGCAGCATGCTGTGGGGATGTTTTTCAGCGGCAGGGACTGGAAGACTAGTCAGGATCAAGGGAAAGATGAACGGAGCAAAGTACAGCGAGATCCTTGATGAAGTCCTGAGTGCTCTGGAGCAGGTTCTCAGAATGGGGCAAAGGTTCACCTTCCAACAGGACAACAACCCTAAGCACACAGCTAAGACGACGCAGGAGTGGCTTCGGGACAAGTCTCTGAATGTCCTTGAGTGACCCAGCCAGAGCCTGGACTTGAACCCGATCTAACATCTCTGGAGAGACCTGAAAATAGCTGTACAGCGACGCTCCCCTTCCAACCTGACAGAGCTTGAGAGGATCTACAGAGAATAATGGGAGAAAATCCCCAAATACAGGTCTGCCAAGCTTGTAGCATCATACCCAAGAAGACTCGAGGCTGTAATTGCTGCCAAAAGGTGCTTCCACAAAGTACTGAGTAAAGAGTCTGAATACTTATGTAAATATGATGTGCTTTTTTAAAACCAGTTTTTGCTTTGTCATTATGGGTTATTGTTTGTAGATCGATGGAAAAAAACAATTTAATCAATTTTAGAATAAGGCTGTAACCTAACAAAATGTGGAAAAAGTCAAGGGGTCTGAATACTTTCCGAAGGCGCATATATACACACAGTCAATAAAAGCAAGTGCCATATAAGATTTTATTGAAACCATAACGTCAACTGATTATATTGTGGAACACAAACTTCAAATAAAGGCAGTAACCTCAGCAGTGGCGCTTGCATGTAAAAGCCTATGGCTGTGCAATGGCATAGTCTTGTTCATTTAGCAGACAAGAGGCTCTTATTTCACGAGCCCTTATCCAAGTCAAGACACCTGTTTTATATATACATTTTATTGTTATGTTATATAACAAAATAGAACAGAATATTTCTCCAAATGAAAGAAGCTGCACTTGAAGTGAAGTGATGCGTATCTCCTGCCTGGAACAGTTATTCTCAGTGATCATTTGAAACAGGGTTCAATTTGTTTAGTTTAAAGAAAAATTCAGGGTTACAAACCAAAAATCGTACATGTATGCTTAATGAGGCTGATGAAAATACGCTCAGTCTTTATCAAACCAGTCTATGTTTAGAGGGGTTATAGCCTAGGCCAGGGGTGTCAAACGTACGGCCCGGATCAGGCCCGCAAACGGGTTTAATCCGGCCCGCGAGATGATAAAAAAAAAAAAAAAAAAAAAATAACGTATAAAAATGCGCTGCAATTTTTCAATAAAATAAACTGCTGTTCCAATTGCGTCCACTGGATGGCGCAATAGCAATTGTGTTAAGCAAGCAAACTGTTTATACCGGGGCAGAGCAAGTAGGTCAAGCACGTGCAGCCAATGAGCTACTTTGTTTTGCCCGCGATATTTATTACGGCTTCTACTTTTAACATTATGTGCTTTGGCACCCTCATTGCCCCAATATGTCCCTGTCAAAAAAGAGAAAAGTGGACGCAGAGTGCAGAGTGTTCCAAGAAAAATGGTCATCCTATTTAATCACGGAATTGAATGGGAAAGCTGTATGTTTGGTGTGTTCAGAGCATGTTGCAGTGCTGAAAGAATATAACCTTCGTCGCCACTATGTGAGTCTTCATGCCGACAAATATGACAACTTTCAAGGACAGCGGAGATGAGAGAAGGTGAATGAACTGTTGGCGGGTCTGAAGAAACAGCAGTCTGTGTTTACTCACAGCCGAGACATCAGTGACGCTGCAGTGAAAGCTAGCTACCTCATTGCTAATGAAATCGCAGTGGCTTCAAAACCATTTAGTGAGGGTGAATTTGTAAAAACATGCATGATGAAGGCAGCGGAGATTGTGTGCCCTGAAAAGCGGCAGGCTTTTGCAAATATCAGCCTGACAAGAAACACAGTTGCAGACAGGATTTCCGATCTTTCAGTGGATTTGGACAGCCAGTTGAAGCAAAAAGTAAAGTCATTTATTGCGTTTTCGGTTGCAATTGATGAAAGCACGGACATTACAGATGTTGCACAACTGGCCATTTTTTCATCCGCGGAGTTGATGACACATTGACCGTCACCGAGGAGTTCGTGGAGTTGGTGCCGATGACAGATACAACGACAGCAGCTGATATTTTTACCGCACTCGTCGGCGTGCTGGACAGGGTCGGAGTGGACTGGTCCCGCGCTGTCAGCCTGGCTACAGATGGTGCGCCCTCAATGATCGGGAAAAAAGCAGGCGTTGTGACAAAGTTCAGAGAGAAAGTGCAATCTGCAAATGGAGGACGTGATTTTTTGACTTTTCACTGTATTTTGCACCAGGAGGCTTTGTGTTGCAAGTCATTAAAGATGGATAACGTCATGAAGGTGGTCATCCAAACTGTTAATTTCATCCGATCCAGAAGCCTGAATCACCGTCAGTTTGACAGCCTTCTCAGAGAGAAAGCCCACATCTATGGCCTGCCATACCACACTGAGGTAAGATGGTTAAGCCGAGGTGCTGTGCTGAGGCGTTTCTTTGATTTACGAGAAGAAATTGAACAGTTCATGGAAGAAAAGGGCAAACCAGTGTTAGAATTTCATTCCGCAGAATGGATGCCGGACCTTGCATTTATGGTGGATGTTACAGAGCACCTGAATAACTTGAACAAACAGCTGCAAGGGCGCAACAAAGTTGTCACGCAGTATTATGACAGCATACGTTCAAGTTGAAGCTGTCATTGTGGGAGACGCAACTTGCCGGTGGTGATGCAGCTCACTTCCCCGGTCTGAAAAATGTGTGCGCGACTCAACATGTGGCAGACATGAAGCGGTTCAAAGATAAAATAACTGGACTGTTACGGGAGTTTGAGCAACGCTTTCAGATTTATGTTTATATGTTTTTATGTTGATGTGCTATTGTTTTTAATTGATTTTATTATTTGTATCTACATTTCTGCCTGAGAAATGACACCCTGATATAGTTCTGTGATCTGTGAAACAGTTCTGTTAATCACTGAGGCATTGTGTGTTTGTGTGTTCTTTTTCTTTAGAATTGTCAAATAAACTTGACGTGTTTTATGATTAATAGTGATGTTGTGCTTGTACTATTTTGGACACACTGTCCTCAGGCTCCAGCTTTATGTTGATCGTATTAAAACAAAGAAAACAATCTGAAGTTGTTGTTTTTAAGTTATATATACACACCATGATTTTTCCGGTCCGGCCCACTTGGGAATAGATTTTCCTCCATGTGGCCCCTGAGCTAAAATGAGTTTGACACCCCTGGCCTAGGCTAACCAATTGCAGCTTAAGTGGAAAATAGACGGGACGCAATTATTCAAAACCGTTTCTGGAACACATTTTCCTACTTCAAATCAACTAGTCTATTTGGATTTTTTTATTTATTTCTGTAGGCCTAACGGGCGCTTGTGTGGAGGGCGCAGTCGGAACACAATTGAGTGAAAGACACTGAGGGGAAAGGGAATTTAGGGAGAACGGTACATTTACATTTTAGTCATTTAAACAGACGCTCTTATCCAGAGCGACTTACAGTTAGTGAGTGCATACATTCTCTCTCTCCATACTGGTCCCCCGTGGGAAACGAACCCACAACCCTGGCATTGCAAACGCCATGCTCTACCAACTGAGCTAGAAGGGACAATGCTTGGCATGTTTTTTTTTGTTGTGCCCCGCCAATACACAAATGGAAGACACAATTTAACCCGTTTGGGCAGCCACAAAGCACATTCCACTAAATAGTTTTACAGTATTGGATTATTTTTTTAAATCTTTGGTTAAAGGTCAAGCTTTGACGTCCGTTTGAGTACTCAAGTACTCATGCCGATCCCTAATGGATAGTGGATATTGTGCCATTTCGGACACAGTAGTTCCAACCGTTTAGGTAATCTGTTGCCCTCACCTCATCATGGCTGGTGTACTCTACAATCTCGGTACAGAGGTTACTGGACTTGATGGTGCCCAGGTTCTGATGGTTACTTTTCCTGTTGCAGGCGTCCTTGTAGAGCATGTAGGGGGTGCCCGTCTCAGTCTGGGACTCAATGATGGCGTGCCACACCTGCTGGGCCTTTACCACCCGCTTCACACGACCCTCTTGCTCATACCTGAGGTGAGACAGGACCAGTGAGACACTGCACACAGAGCTGTGCCTGGTATGTAGCTGTGTTATACAGGCTCAGGAGCGCCGGTCTTACCTGGTATAGAGATTCTCAAATTCCTCCCCCCAGCACTCGTCCAGTCCAGGGCAGTCACTGGGGCACATCAGGGACCAGTCCTGTGGATACAATATGCCATGAGTACTGATATCTCGAAGATATGAATCTAAACAGAACCACTCCAGATTCCCTTCTTTAATTCAACCTAAATTCCATATCTGGTTTGAATATTTCAGTTTGTACACTGATGTTGCTGCATACCTCGTTGCTCTCCACTCTCTTCATAAAGAGGTCAGGGATCCACATGGCGTAGAACAGATCTCTGGCCCTCTGCTCTTCCTTCCCTGTGTTCTTCTTCAGATCCAAGAAGTCAAACACATCAAAGTGCCACGGCTCCAGGTACATGGCAAACGCGCCAGGTCTCTGAGGAGGAGAGGGGGATGAGAGAGGGATAAGAGGGTGTTAACCGTCTGATGAAGGTACAGTAAACACAGGCCAGAGTCTGAAAGACAGTATGCATGTTCTCAGAGTCTTCAACCTTAGGTGAAAGATAGTGGGTCATCTCTGCGCAGAACGCTAATGCACATCTGTGAGGTCATCCTGTGGCCAGAGTCAATAACACAACCTCTAGTCAATTTCATTTCTTTCTCACCTTGTTGCCTCCCTGGTCCACGTAGCGTGCAGTGTTGTTGTACACTCGGAGCATGGGAACAAGCCCGTTGGAATTGCCATTTGTCTAAAACAAAAAAGAAGCCTCAGTCAATGAGTGACTTGCCAAGCACCACAATGAAATATCATGTTTGGTTATTTATAAACGTTTCCCCCACCATGTCGGAGCTATCAATCGCCCACTGTTCTGTGTCGTTGGCGTAGACATAGCCATCACTCTGCCCCTCATGACACAGGCTTGACACTTTTATTTCACTAGGCAAGTCAGTGGACGGCCTACGAAACAGACTGCAACGCCTCAAGGGGCAGTCTTATTTATAAACACGACCGTGTGATCCTCACCCCAGCGATGTAGCTGCCCGTGGCTCTGATGCAGCTGACTGCCACTCCGATGCCCCCTGCTGATTTAGAGATTAGGGCACACTGCTTCAGGGTGTCGTAGATGCCCTCGATGCTGTCGTCCTTCATGGCCAGCAGGAAACAGCTGAAAATCAACAAGGCCAACCCATATAAAACATTAAGCACTTTTCTGGCTTGCACCTAGAACAGTCAAAGATGTCTATAGTTTCTACAATTCTGTAATCATAGCCATTACACTGAGGAATGGCTTATAGTAGAATGGCTGTTAGTAAGTGCTTACCTGGACAGCTGTGGGCGGTTGGTACCAGCGTTGAAGAGTGTGGGGGAAGCATGGGTGAACCACTTCTCTGACAGCAGGTTGTAAGTCTCGATGGCAGCATCAATGTCAGTCTTATGAATCCCAACTGCCACTCTCATGAGCATGTGCTGTGGTCGCTCAGCAACTACACAGGAATAGAACAGATCAGCATGAGGGATGGAGCTCATCTGAATCACATATTTCCACATAAAAAAAGCTGCTCCGGTAATGTGTCTGTTTGACCAGGTGCCACTAGTGATGAGCCCTAATCCAATGTAGCATTTGTTCATATCATGAAAAGATGTCAATTCTGACAGGGAGGTAATTTATCTATGAGCAGACTCACCTTTCCCATCAATCTTCAGCAGATAGGACCGCTCAAGTGTCTACGTAGAAAAAAACTAATTAGTTTACTCTCCTACCATTGCAGAATTGACTAAATTACTATTGCTCATAAAGCATGTACTGTACAAAATTACCTTGAATCCAAAGAAGTTGTAGGAGAAGTCACGGTCAAAGATGATGGCCGAGTTAAGGCGATCCTTGTTTTCTAGGACAATGTCGAGTGTCTCCTTGGCGACCATGGGAGAGTGGCGTTTGTTTAGCGGGTTGACATAGTTGTAGAGATCCTCCACCACATCTGCAACAGCAGATTTGATTTGACAGAAGAAAATACATTTTCGGATACACTAGTTTGCACTGTTGTAGTATGCAAGTCCAGGACTGACTCTAGTCCCGATTTTCATGACATTTGGCTACCATTGGTGAATCGGACTTGCATTTGCACTTGGACTGGATAGGCTACTATGATAAGCAGAATATTAGCAGCACTGGGTACGCAGAGCAGCGAGGGTTGTTCTCTAGCTAGCAGTGGGACTGATGTGCCACACAGGCACACGCAGCCGATATCAGCAGGTGAACTGCGCCGAAGCAAGCGATGAGTGTGGGCAGACAGGCTCCACGCCGCCTCAGATCATAGGCTACACATCACGCAAGCGACTCGCTTGCGTCCCTGTAACTACCAGCCTACTATTTAGCGTTGCCTAGTTAATACTATTGTTTTACATTTCGTAAAGCAGTTTGTTTCTTGAGTTTTAAAGTAAAAACAGTCTAGCTATTGTCTATTCCCATAAGTATTGAAAAGTAGGCAGTCTTTGAATTTGTACTCTTGCTCTGCCCTCCCACTTTCCCATGTCTCCCTTTAGTTTTCACCCTGGAATAAAAACTAAATTAAGAAAACTACACAAATATCAGTGGGCCATCACAAAAAAGTAGCCAAGAGCCTGTCACAATTGCAAATAATAATCTGATCAATCTGACAGGAGCAATAGCCAATTCCGTCTAGAGACCATTAATCTCTTCAAAACATCTTTACTGATTTGAAATAACTATTGAACATTATTCAAATGTATGTGTGTGAACCTGTGTATGAAGGACTTTTGTTTCATACGCTATTGCATATTTCAGGCAATTATGACCATTGTGCAACAGGAGGAAATGCTCTCATGAAAATCTTCCCACCAGTTGTTGATGGGCAGATTACCGCCAAATCAATACAGGCGCAAATCTAGCAACAGACAAGCATCGAGCCAGCAAGCAACAAATAATAAACAGCAATAGGCCTAACCAAAATACAAAGTGTCTAAAGAACATCAAGAGTTTGTTGTTGATTTGCACATAAAATACCACATTAATATTGGTTTTTGTTCAACTCAGACCCAGTGACTCAGACTTGAGCACTAGGACTGACTTCAGCCATAGGGACTCTTGGGGTCTGAATACTTTCCGAATACACTGTAAATACACCCGCTTTGCTAGAAGCACCCTTTACTTTTTCCACATTGTTACATTACAGCCTTCTCCTAAACTGATTTAAATTGTTTCCCCCTCATCTATCTACACACAATACCCCAAAATGACAAAGCAAAAACAAGGTAGACATTTTTGCTGATAAAAAAATATATATATTAAAAAGGAAATATCACATTTACATAAGTATTCAGAGCCTTTGCTCAGTACTTTGTTGAAGCACCGTTGGCAGCGATTACAGCCTCAAGACTTCTTGGGTATGACGCTACAAGCTTGGCACACCTGTATTTGGGGAGTTTCTCACATTCTTCTCTGCAGATCCTCTCAAGCTCTGTCAGGTTGGATGGCGAGCGTCGATGCATAGCTACTTTTAGGTCTCTCCAGAGATGTTAGATCGGGTTCAAGTCCGGGCTCTGGCTGGGCCACTCAAGGACATTCAGAGACTTGTCCCGAAGCCACTTGTGCGTTGTCTTGGCTGTGTGCTTAGGGTTGTTGTCCTGTTGGAAGGTGAACCTTTGCCCCAGTCTGAGGTCCTGAGCGCTCTGGAACAGGTTTTCATCAAGGATCTTTCTGTACTTTGCTCCGTTCATCTTTCCCTCGATCCTGATCAATCTCCCAGTCCCTGCCGCTGAAAAACATCCCCACAGCATGAAGCTGCCACCACCGTGCTTCACCGTAGGGATGGTGCCAGGTTTCCTCCAGACGTGACGCTTGGCATTCAGGCCAAAGAGTTCAATCTTGGTTTCATCAGACAAGATAATCTTGTTTCTCATGGTCTGAGAGTCTTTAGGTGCTCCAAGCTTGCGGTCATGTGCCTTTTACTGAGGAGTGGCATCCGCCTGGCCCCTCTACCATAAAGGCCGGATTGGTGGAGTGCTGCAGAGATGGTTGTCCTTCTGGAAGTTTCTCCCATCTCCACAGAGGAACTCTGGAGCTCTGTCAGAGTGACCATCGGGTTCTTGGTCACCTCCCTGACCAAGGCCCTTCTCCCCCGATTGCTCAGTTTGGCCGGGCAGCCAGCTCTAGGAAGAGTCTTGGTGGTGCCAAACTTCTTCCATTTAAGAATGATGGAGGCCACTGTTCTTGGGGACCTTCAATGCTGCAGAAATGTTTTGGTACCCTTCCCCAGATCTGTGCCTCGACACAATCCTGTCTCGGAGCTCTACGGACAATTCCTTCGACCTCATGGCTTGGTTTTTGCTTTGACATGCACTGTCAACTGTGGGACCTTACATAGACAATTGTGTGCCTTTCCAAATCATGTCCAATCAATTGAATTTACCACAGGTTATAGAAACATCTCAAGGGTGATCAATTGAAACAGGATGCACCTGAGCTCAATTTCGAGTCTCATGGCAAAGCATCTGAATACTTATGTAAATAAGGCATAAAAAAAAAAAAATATCTATACACACAGTGGGGAGAACAAGTATTTGATACACTGCCGATTTTGCAGGTTTTCCTACTTACAAAGCATGTAGAGGTCTGTAATTTTTATCATATGTACACTTCAACTGTGAGAGACGGAATCTAAAACAAAAATCCAGAAAATCACATTGTATGATTTTTAAGTAATTAATTTGCATTTTATTGCATGACATAAGTATTTGATACACCAGAAAAGCAGAACTTAATATTTGGTACAGAAACCTTTGTTTGCAATTACAGATATCATACGTTTCCTGTAGGTCTTGACCAGGTTTGCACACACTGCAGCAGGGATTTTGGCCCACTCCTCCATACAGACCTTCTCCAGATCCTTCAGGTTTCGGGGCTGTCGCTGGGCAATACGGACTTTCAGCTCCCTCCAAAGATTTTCTATTGGGTTCAGGTCTGGAGACTGGCTAGGCCACTCCAGGACCTTGAGATGCTTCTTACGGAGCCACTCCTTAGTTGCCCTGGCTGTGTGTTTCGGGTAGTTGTCATGCTGGAAGACCCAGCCACGACCCATCTTCAATGCTCTTACTGAGGGAAGGAGGTTGTTGGCCAAGATCTCGCGATACATGGCCCCATCCATCCTCCCCTCAATACGGTGCAGTCGTCCTGTCCCTTTTGCAGAAAAGCATCCCCAAAGAATGATGTTTCCACCTCCATGCTTCACGGTTGGGATGGTGTTCTTGGGGTTGTACTCATCCTTCTTCTTCCTCCAAACACGGCGAGTGGAGTTTAGACCAAAAAGCTCTATTTTTGTCTCATCAGACCACATGACCTTCTCCCATTCCTCCTCTGGATCATCCAGATGGTCATTGGCAAACTTCAGACGGGCCTGGACATGCGCTGGCTTGAGCAGGGGGACCTTGCGTGCGCTGCAGGATTTTAATCCATGACGGCGTAGTGTGTTACTAATGGTTTTCTTTGAGACTGTGGTCTCAGCTCTCTTCAGGTCATTGACCAGGTCCTGACGTGTAGTTCTGGGCTGATCCCTCACCTTCCTCATGATCATTGATGCCCCACGAGGTGAGATCTTGCATGGAGCCCCAGACCAAGGGTGATTGACCGTCATCTTGAACTTCTTCCATTTTCTAATAATTGTGCCAACAGTTGTTGCCTTCTCACCAAGCTGCTTGCCTATTGTCCTGTAGCCCATCCCAGCCTTGTGCAGGTCTACAATTTTATCCCTGATGTCCTTACACAGCTCTCTGGTCATGGCCATTGTGGAGAGGTTGGAGTCTGTTTGATTGAGTGTGTGGACAGGTGTCTTTTATACAGGTAACGAGTTCAAACAGGTGCAGTTAATACAGGTAATGAGTGGAGAACAGGAGGGCTTCTTAAAGAAAAACTAACAGGTCTGTGAGAGCCGGAATTCTTACTGGTTGGAAGGTGATCAAATACTTATGTCATGCAATAAAATGCAAATGAATTACTTAAAAATCATACAATGTGATTTTCTGGATTTTAGTTTTAGATTCCGTCTCTCACAGTTGAAGTGTACCTACGATAATAAATTACAGACCTCTACATGCTTTGTAAGTAGGAAAACCTGCAAAATCGGCAGTGTATCAAATACTTGTTCTCCCCACTGTATACACACACGCAAAAATGTATAATAACCTTTTTTTGCTTCGTCATTATGGGGTATTGTGTGTAGATTGAGGAAAGAAATGTCTGTCATCAATTTTAGAATAAGGCCTAAACATAAAATGTGGAAAAAGTCAAGGTGTCTGAATACTTTCCGAATGCACCAGCATTGCTTTCAATTGTATTGGGTTTCACAAAAACAGTCTGTGGGAAGCCAGAAATTAAATACAAATCCATTTCAACTTACTGCGCCGGTGGGCAGGACTGTTGATCAATATGGCGCGGGGAATTTGAGACAAAATATCTAAAGGATTGTATTATTAAGACAGACTTTCCAAGCATGGGTCTGTTATAGACCCACTTCCCCTCTGCTTACCTCGTGTCAAAATAAGTCAATTTGTGAACGAAAAATTAGGCCTTTTTTTCCATACATGAGGTAAGCAGAGCTACATGGCTTAGACATTACTTTTACACGCCAGTTTTTTCTGTTACCAAAGTAATATTGTCAGCTCACTGGCAGGTTAGACATCTGTGCCTGTGAATGTGGAGTGGCTAAAAATAGGCTACTTTGAGCCTGATAATTGAGCAATATGCATAACTTTTAGACTAAAGGTCAGAAGAATTACAGTTTGAGAGAGAGCGAGAGAGACTTACCGCTGAAAACCTTCTTGGTCTCCTTGTGCAGGTTGGAGACTGCGATGCGGGCAGCCAAGATGGCATAGTCAGGGTGTTTGGTGGTGAGTGTTGCAGTGATCTCTGCAGCCAGCGTGTCCAACTCCACTGTGGTGACCCCATTGTACAGACCTTGGATGACCTTCATAGTGATCTGGGTCTAAAAGGCAGAACAAGCAGAGTAAAGGGTTATGGTGGGTTAGAGAAACACAGCAAACACTACAATTGACAAACAATAGAAATACATTGAACATAAAATGTCAACTTACTGGATCCACAAAGTCAGAGTTGAGTCCATAGCACAGCTTCTGGATGCGGGAGGTGATTTTGTCAAACATGACACGCTCTTCACGCCCATCTGAAAATTATGTAAAGACTGAAGTGTTAGTCAGAAAGCACTTCAATAACATGAATGTGTGCCATGGAAAAATAACGTTTACGTTAATCAGTCATATTTCCCCAATGCTTTAAAACAAAAGGTAATTTAGCTGTGACTAGTATCTATACTTAACAAAAATATAAAATGCAACAATTTCAAAAGATGTTACTAGGTTACAGTTCATAAGGAAAATCAGTCAATTAAAATAACTATTAGGCCCTAATCTATGGATTTCACATGACTGAATACAGATATGCATTCATAAGTCAGATACCTAAAAAAAAAAAAAGCAGGGCATGGATCAGAAATCCTGTCAGTTTCTGGTGTGACCACAATTTGCCTCATGCAGTGCGATCTCCTTTGCATAGTGGATCCGGCTATTGATTGTGGCCTGTGGAATGTTGTCCCACTCCTCTTCAATGGCTGTGCGAAGTCGCTGGATATTGGCTGGAACTGGAACATGCTGTCGTACGCGTCGATCCAGAGCCTCCCAAACATGCTCAATGGGTAACATGTCTGGTGAGTATGCAGGCCATGGAAGAACTGGGACATTTTCAGCTTCCATGGATTGTGTACAAATCCTTGCGACATGAGGCTGTGCATTATCATGCTGAAACATGGTGATGGCGGCGATGAATGGCACGACAATGGGCCTCAGGATCTCGTCATGTTATCTCTGTGCATTCAAATTGACATCGATAAAATGCAATCGTGTTCGTTGGCAGTAGCTTATGCCTGCCCATACCATAACCCCATCATCGGGCACCTCGTTCACAACGTTGACACCAGCAAACCGTTCGCCCACACGGTCTGCGGTTGTGAGGCCAGATGGATGTACAGTGATCCCTCGCCACTTCGCGGTTCACTTATCGCGGATTCGCTATTTCGCGGATTTTCATAATGCATTTTTTTTTTTTTGGTGCATTGTGCTCTGCATTCTGATTCGCTAAAAACTCACTCCCGCTTCTTGTATCAAAACATGCTACGAATTGTGCTATCATTTTGTCGTCTCGTGCAGTTATGTGTACGTACATAAAACAGCTTGGCAAATTTACATTAAGTTGGCCAAATTATCTTGTAATTTCGAACATCTCCTAAACCCATAATGTCGACGAAACGGCCTGGACCGACAAAAGCACCTGCGGATGGGCCCAAACGGCGGAAGATGCTACCTATCTCAGATAAAGTTAAACTTCTGGACATGCTAAGGGAAGGTAAATGACAAAGCCACAAAGCGACGATGAAAGAGAAGAGGGAGAAGAGGACACGAGAGATGAGGAGGAAGGACTAACGCTTGGTCGCTTAGCAACCATGGTGCGAATGGCCACTGAACTTAAGCGAGTAGCTGAGGAATGGGACCCTTTGATGAGCCGTTCATTACAGTTCTCCAACGTAATCGATGGTGGCATGTCGGTGTACAAGGATCTTTTTGCAAAGAAGAAAAAAGAGCGACAACAGCTGCCTATCACTATGTTCTTCTCCCGAACAAACACACCTGCACCGCGGGCTTCAGAAGAAGAGAACACTGCAGAGCGCAGTCAGGATGCAGCGGCCCAGTCTGAAGAGCAGTGAAACGGCCTACACGTGAGTCACTGTATTTGTATACATGTAATAGTTGCTAATTGTAAAAAAAAAAAGTTTTCTATTTCGCGGATTTCACTTATCGCGGGTCATTTTCGGAACGTAACCCCCGCGATAAACGAGGGATTACTGTACTGCCAAATCCTTGAAAAATACGTTCAAGGCAGCTTATGGTAGAGAAATTAACACTCAATTCTCTGGCAACAACTCTGGTGGACAATCCTGCAGTCAGCATGCCAATTGCACACTCCCTCAAAACTAACAGGGACGTTAACAAATTTGGCCACAAACTTTGAGAGACTTATGCTTTTGTGCGTATATAAAATTGCGGGGATCTTTTATTTCAGCTCATTAAACATGGGACCAACACTTTCCATGTTGCGTTTATATGTTAGCCAGCCAACTTCCTGTTTTGTAACCCAGAAAACTGTTTTGGGAAAAAAGTTACAAAATGGAAATACTTTTAAATGTTAGCTAGCTACTGTTTATGACTACTTAATTGATGGGATAATAACTAACTTCCAATCAAATTACCTAGGTAGAGGTTAGTTAAACAAACGTTAACAATTTGGCGCCAAGTTTGACAAAGGGAAACTTGCTACAAGACTGAACATTCCTGTCTTGATCTAGTTAACGCGTTCAATCACATTTGGTAACAGTTAACTTTCTGAATGGGTGGGGAACGTTAGCTAAGCAACTGCAGCTAGCTAGCTATCTAGGTGGTCTTAAAAAAAATCTATGAATACTGACATGCGTTAACTACTGTTAGCCAACAACTTTGCAAGCGTTGTATTATAGCTAACTAACCTTAAACTAGCTAGGTTACCATTATAGCTACGCAGATAGCTAGATTAGCCAGCCAGTTGACACTAGCTAGCAACCTAACTAGGCGGAAGTCATTCAACGTGGTTAATTTGAAAGTATATACTAACTACAGTAAAATGCTCAAAAGCTTGCTTGTAGGAAGAAACAAGAGATCAAGACACAGACAAATACAGTAGCTAGCTATCATTCCTACTATAAAGGACCTACCTCGCTTTATCACATGCATGTTGACAAGGGTTGTTTTCTTTCCAGAGAAAGTGCGAAATATAAGAATAATACTGTATATAGTTTAGAATGTAGTGGTACAATGACACAATAATATTTCACGCTCGCAACCGCCAGTGACTTCCAGTGTTGAGGATAAAGCGCGAATAACTCAAAACACCCGCCACAAACACTTTATAATCAGAGGAAGAGGAAGAGCGAGACGTATTCTTCTTCGATGAGGTTTAACGGCGGTTGGCATCCAATAAATGTTGCATTACCGCCACCTACTAGACCGGAGTGTAACTCCCTTATACCTTGCTTTAAAAAAAATACAACAAATACCCCACCATCTAATACTACACTCACAAAAAAATACAAATAAAATAATAATAGCTACCATACTCCACTATTTAAATATATTTATTCCTACACCACTTAACACACCATGTAACTCTTCTGATGTCATGTCTCGCACACCCAAATACCTCTCTGCAGCTGCCACCACAACCTCTATTTTCTGCGATTTACGTTCCATCCCTGCAGTACAGTTGATAACCATTGCTATAAATACCAAAAATCCAATCTTACTGAAACATATATCACTTGTTGGTTTATCCCTCTGTACTGGTACATCTCTACTAATCACACCATTCCTCTCAGGATCCCTCCCCCTTGACCCATCTTCCTCTACTTTCTTCACTGCCTCAGCATATGACAACTTCTGCACTACTCTAACCCTGGAAACCTCAACCTGCCTCTCTCGCACCGTACATTTCGGATCCCCAGCTCCATGGGCACCCCTACAATTAACACATACCACTACTTTCCCCAATGCTACACATTCCTTTGTCTCATGCCCTTCTGCACACTTCTCACACCTAGGAACCTCCCTCACACACACTGCTGCTACATGCCCATAAGCTTGACACCTGTAACAACGTAATGTATTCAGCACAAAAGCTCGTACCGGATAACTTCTATATACTAACATCACTTTGTCGGGCAAAGACTCAACATCAAAACTCAAAAGAACAGTCAATGATTCTTCTGTTTCTCCACTCACGCCACCCTGTCTGCGTCACACCAAACGACGAGCATCACAAACACCGGGAATCTTCCCCTTCAGTAGGTCAGCTTTCACATTTACCCCTACCCCAGTAATCAGACCATTCAATGGCACCCTTTTCTTGAGAGCAAAACAATTCACATTTCTTTCCCCCATTCGTTTAACACGGAGCGCCTGCTCCCTCTGACCAGGAGAAACACAAACAATTATCACTAGACCACTTCTGGTTACCTTCACCGATTTCACACCCAACTCTGTTTTCACCCACCCTGAAACCACAAATGGATCAGCCAAAAGGCAAGGGTCCACTTTTTCCAAAAACTTCACTCCTACTGTCACAGACTCATCTTTATCCTGACCCTTGGTGCAAACCCCGGGCACCGAGAACTTCACCACACCTACCACCTACGATACTTCGCCATCATTCACTTCCATTTCTCCTCCTGTCTTCAACTCACTCTGTTTACACTTTCTACCATACTTCTTTAACAAACCATCTCCCTTGTTCTCGCCATTTTTAACTGACTCAAGCTCACCCTCTTCCTCCCTCTCTCTCTTAGACCTCCTCTGCCTCTCCTTTTCCCTCCATTCCTCCTAAGTATTCCAAGTATAACTCTCCTTATGATAGTACTGCACACACATCTAGTTCTTGCCATCTTGCCTTGTCTAGGGACGACATTTCTTCTCCGACTCTCCCTACTCTTCCAATTTTCCCCACGTCCAATACAACAAATTGTACTGATTTCTTCCTTATGTAGACCCTCAAACACTGAAGTCAGACCTGCTCGTTTGATCCTGCTATTCCTTAACATGCTCACACAGACATTTTCCCATTCGGTCGAACAAATAATGCCGTATTACCAACGCGGTATTGTAAACACATCGTGGCCGGTGTGTGTGCTTGTTTGCAGACTTTTTTGTTGTTGTACAGCTTTGACAGTGCTACTGATTGTAGTGGTGGCGCTTGGCTTGCACATGCAAATTCAGCACACACAACATTCTATAATAGAATTGCGTTATTTGACATGTCAAATTCAAATCTTTTTTGACACGCAAAGACCCAAACGGCGTTCCATAGTAGCATAGGATCTCTCTCCACGGAATACAGGTGGTTTACAATAATGAGATGTATCCACCAATCCAAATAAATTATAGGCGGGCGCTAGACAGCCCGCCGTGCCGCTTTGTGGACAACGACTCCCATTCTAATCTTGTCAGTATATCGATAATCTTTGGTTAAACCAATTACAGCGGCTTGTTATCCTTAGATTCCGTGTTCCAGTCAGCTGTCACCATAAACAAAATCTAATCTAGCGGGATATTTTGAAACGTAGGCTAGGTCATCTGCTTTGTGGGTTGGTTGGCTTTGTTTGGCAAACACTGAATAAGACTACATCATCAACCTACTCTTGACAATACTTGCTCCTGACTGATCAAATAAGGATTATGAATGCTCACAGACATTTCTTAGAGGAAATCTTACAGTAAGAGGACCATAAAACTATTTTAATAGCCTTACCTGGTGGCAAGTTACATTCTTGATCAACATACCGGTGATTGCACAAGTGTGCTTTAAAATGTTTCCCAGCAAATACATTAATTGTTATATTCTTCATTATTCTATCTAAAAATTGGTCTATTACGCTAGACAATGTGGTTATGGTTAATAAATAACTCACGAAGTGACTGCATTGCTCCTCCTTGGTTTGACAAAATGAACAGTTTATTAAAAATGGCACAGTCTCAATAGTCCATGTGCAAAAGAAAGATAGGCTATAGCATCCTCTGCTGTATGTTTCAGTACCCTGTATGTATAGAAGCCTGGCTTGTTAGAGACTGCTTGAAATACAACATTATAACCACACTATAAATGGGGAACAATGTAATTTTATGATAAAGGTACAATACAACTTTATAATATAAAGTATTAATATAAATATATTATAACCTTCATAAGCATATCCTCCACAATGGTGCCCTATCTCTTCCTGTCCTGGGCTATTTGGATTAGGTGAGCCTTATCTGGTCATGAGCTCAGGCTCAAAAGTTTGCTGCTAGGTCATTCTTGGGCTTTTCATCTTCATCTCTGCTGGCTGTCCCCAACAGAGGTTACAGACTCGTAGCTGATGTGTTAAGACAGGGATCATCAACTAGATTCAGCCGCGGGCCAATTTTTTCTTCAGCGGATCGTCAGGGGGCCAGAACATAATTACAAATCATATGACCGCAAGAATCACAAACAGATATATAGAGCATTCGGAAAGTATTCAGACACCTTTACCTTTCACACATTTTGTTACGTTACACACAATACCCCATAATGACAAAGCAAAAACAGGTTTTTAGACATTTTTGCAAATGTATATTTAAAAAACCCCGGAAATATCAAATTTACATAAGTATTCAGACCCTTTACTCAGTACTCTGTTGAAGCACCTTTGGCAGTGATTACAGCCTTGAGTCTTCTTGGGTATTCCGCTACAAGCTTGGCACACCTGTATTTAGGGAGTTTCTCCCATTCTTCTCTGCAGATCCTCTCAAGCTCTGTCAGGTTGGATGGGGAGCGTCACTGCACAGCTATTTTCAGGTCTCTCCAAAGATGTTAGATCGGGTTCAAGTCCGGGCTCTGGCTGGGTCACTCAAGGACATTCAGAGACTTGTCCAGAAGCCACTCCTGCGTTGTCTTGGCTGTGTGCTTAGGGTTGTTGTCCTGTTGGAAGGTGAACCTTTGCCCCAGTCTGAGGTCCTGAGTGCTCTGGAGCAGGTTTTCATCAAGGATCTCTCTGTACTTCGATCCTGACTAGTCTTCCAGTCCCTGCCGCTGAAAAACATCCCCACAGCATGATACTGCCACCACCATGCTTCACCGTAGGGATGGTGCCAGGTTTCCTCCAGACGTGACGCTTGGCATTCAGGCCAAATAGTTTTTAACTTGTTTCTTATGGTCTGAGAGTCCTTTAGGTGCCTTTTGGCAACTCCAAGTGGGCTGTCATGTGCCTTTTACTAAGGAGTGGCTTCCGTCTGGTCACTCTACCATAAAGGCCTGATTGGTGGAGTGCTGCAGAGATGGTTGTCCTTCTGGAAGGTTCTCCCATCTCCACAGAGGAACTGGAGCTCTGTCAGAGTGACCATCGGATTCTTGGTCACCTCCCTGACCAAGGCTTTTCTCCCCCGATTGCTCAGTTTGGCCTGGCGGCCAGCTCTAGGAAGAGTCTTGGTGGTTCCTAACTTCTTCCATTTAAGAATGATGGAGGCCACTGTGTTCTTGGGGACCTTCAATGCTGCAGAAATGTTTTGGTACCCTTCCCCAGATCTGTGCCTCGACACAATCCTGTCTCTGAGCTCTGCGGACAATTCCTTCGACCTCATGGCTTGGTTTTTGCTCTGACATGCACTGTCAACTGTGGGACCTTATACAGACAGGTGTGTGCCTGTCCAAATCATGTCCAATCAATTGAATTTACCACAGGTGGACTCAAATCAAGTTGTAGAAACATCTCAAGGATGATCAATGGAAACAGGATGCACCTGAGCTCAATTTCGAGTCTCATAGCACATGGTTTGAAATAAATAAGGTATTTATGTAAATAAGGTATTTCAATTTTTTGTGTTTTATACATTTGCAAAAATGTCTAAAAACCTGTTTTCGCTTTGTCATTATGGGGTATTGTGTGTAGATTGATTTTTATATATTTTTTCCATTTTAGAGTAAGGCTGTAACGTAACAAAATGTGGAAAAGGGGAAGAGGTCTGAATACTTTGCGAATGCACTATAATATTTGACTAAAACGTAATAATTTCAAACCTTGCTTACATTTGTATACGATCACATGTATAGTATCTCTCTATTATGCGTGGGAATACTTGGGAACAGATTTCCAAAATTAAAATCACTTGGAGCTGATTTCCTGGTGTTTTTACAGTCTTTTATGTCCAACAATGAAAATTCTAAAGAAATACAACAATTTATTTATTTTTGCTCAGAAAACTTGGGGGGCTAAATAAAACCACCAGTTGGGGAACCCTGGATTAAGAACTCCCGTCAAAGGCTGCATCTCTGTCAATGTCTCTCTCTGTAACCTTGGTATGAATTGACTTTGGGATTTTCTTGTGAAGGTTTCTGTAACAAGGGTTTTCCAGGTGGCACCATCTTTTTGATGAAAGTGATGATACCATTAAAAACAGTTTGATGTGTACATGCTGGTACAGAAAGAACAGTAGCCTATGTGATGGCAAAGGTCTCAAGTTATGTCCATGGACCATTGCAAGATGCCATATGAGGGCATGACCTATATTTTTCCTATTTTTGCCACTTTGTTCATACAGTCTGCTTTTGAACAAATGTAGTATAATATTTAATGTTACATACACAATTCCATCTTCTTGGCCGTGGAAGAAAACTAAACAGGATATATGCTGGTATGTGGTTTGACTTTTCAGAAATAAAAGCACTTGAAGCATATCAGAATACCAAAAGCTGCGATTTCCTGCTGTTGCAGCTAGTTTCCTGTAGGCTACTGACGTCTGAGCAGAAAAAAAAAAACCTTTGCAGAAGCAGCCATAAGGTTTTGACTAGGTTAAAGATGCTGTAGCCACACAATAACCAGATGAAACTATATTTCAGACAGACAGATATAGATTGATAGATAGATAGATTGAAGTAGGCAAAAAGTGATGTGAAGGGTGTGGCTTACCAACGTTAAAGGTGAGTCTGTACAACTAGGGCGCGTTTGTTATTTTATTTTTACACCCCTTTGTTCAATGACTGCACCTGCACTTTAGCTTGGCTGAAGCATGAGGCTGATGTTAGCAAGACTGCCTGTGCTTGACTGTAATTTCCCAGTCAATACCAAAAGTGCCCATTTCAATCATCATTGAAGAAAATATCCAAACCACAAATAGATTTCCTTGAAACTTTCCTCTGAGCAATGTATCGAACATCCAAAGAAACCATGTACATTTCTCCCAGGGAAAATGCCTAGCGAGGAGCCAAAAATTGCACCTGCGAACATTACAGAGAAAACATCACAACAAGAGGTAAAGCAAGGGAACAACTACCTGAGACTTCTTAACTTCACGATACAATGTAGGTTCTATACATGTTGTGCAGTTGAGAACTTTATAAACGTTGTTAAAAGGTATAATTTCACCTCTGAATGATTTAGGAATTTATGGAAAACTAATGGAACCATCATTAGTATTATTTGTATTGGTTGTTCATAAAGTAACCTAACCCATCTATCCTCATTCCTCTGACATCTGACATAGAGGAAAGTGAAATAACCTACTATAGGTCATCAACATCTCAATATTTATTTCAAAGACATAATCAAAGTTTTATGCTCTCGTTTGTTTGTTTTGCATAACATATTATAGCCCATTTTATATAAACTACCTGTAGGGTACTCTTTATTCCCCTTTTATGATTTACAATGTGTCATGATGTTGATGATGAAGGGAGGCTGATAGGCAGATGGTAGTGGCCTAAATCAAATGACTTGCTGTTCCCAAAACTGAACTGCTATTTTAACCTGAACTGCTTCCTCTTCTTGTCATTAGTTAATCTCTTTGCTGTCTGTTTACTGGTCCACTGACAACACACACACTCACGCACATTTCCTGATGTGTGAACCACACCCATATCTGTTAATCTGGACTACATAGCTATTCCTACCAGTGTCACTGACTGTGTTAACCCTAAACAATGTGCAGTCCCAGAGTCTCATACAAGATAAAATGGGAATTCTACTTTTCAACATCAAGGCATGACACAGTCATAGGTTCTTCTGATAGAGGATCTGTCTGACTGTTTTAAATGTGTTATATCTGTTCTAGAGTCCAGCACAGCTGAATTGGTTTTATTTAGCTCATGATGTCACTAATCCCTCATCCCGCCCCCCATCCCCTGCACCCGCACCAGACCCAAATATTATCCAAAGAGAGCAGTGGGGTAGGAAGTATGAGTTTCTACTCTCCTGTATCGGCTACTGCGTGGGACTGGGGAACGTGTGGAGGTTTCCCTACCTCTGCTACCGCAATGGAGGAGGTGAGTAACCCACAGCCAAGCTGGCTTTCAGCCCTCATACATTTTACACTGCCCCTCAAACTCTTAAGTATGAATGAAGCTTACATGAATGAAGCTGTATTATTGTATTAAAAGTGATGCCTATTATGTTACCATGGCCTTCAGGTGTGCACTGACCTCTCACCTCTGCGTGTTGTACTGCAGAGTTAATCTGAGAACTGAAACCAAAGCCACAGTCATCACAGGCAGCCAGTGGTGGCAGAAAGCCGACACACAGGCACTGTAACTAATCCTATAAGGGAGAGCCAATGCCATTTTCAGAAACACAGCCTGACCCGAATAAGTGCACAGAAAAACACACCTTATAGTCAGTCTATTGTGAGTCTCATTCAATGCTATAGTAAACAAACCTTCAGCTCTGCATGTGAAGCTAGCACATGCTGATGCTTCAATAGTTGAAGGATGAAACATCTCCTTGTGCTGGCTGGGAGCATTCCAGATGTAGTAAGTGATTATAAAGCTATTGTGATGTTTGTAGGAACTGTCCTTACTTGCCGTGTATACGTGCAGCAGCTCAGTGTATAAACAATCAAACGAATGAGGGATGTCTCCGCTTGAATTATCCCGTTTCCTGTTTGACCTCTGTCCTCCTCTTCTCCAGGTGTGTTCCTTATCCCCTACTTCATTATGCTCTTCTTCACCGGGGTCCCCCTCTTCCTCATGGAGCTAAGTCTAGGCCAGTACAGAGCTGCTTGACCAATCACAGTGTGGAAGTGCTTCCCCCTCCTCAAAGGTAAACCCCCAGGATCCCCATGCTGGATACCCCAGAAATAACCAATACTGCACCAATGTGTTTTATTGTCCCCCAACACTCCATAATGGGCCACCAACACTCTTGTGATTAGCCTCAACCATATCTTCTCCAACATCAAAAGCTCCATCTGGACTGCACATCCAACCTGCCTGTGTGTCTCTCTATAGGCATTGGCATTGGGATGCTCTGTGTGTCTATGCTTGTGTGCCTCTACTACAACGTGATCATAGCCTGGACCTTCTACTACCTGGGCAGCTCCTTCCAGAGCCCCCTGCCCTGGTCCTGCGATGCCCCAGCCAACGCTTACCTCTGTGGGAATGCCACCACTGGGAACAGCTCCTCTGGCACAGGTCTCAGCCCCTCCGAGGTCTTCTGGAAGTAAGGGCTCTTCATCCACTACAGAGTGTTTGCCACAAAAAATGATCTAATGGCCTTTGCATGAGTGAATTCAGATAGGATTGGGTTATAGCGGGGGAATTAGTGGCATGCTGGCCTGACCCTCAACTGTGTTGGAATATCAATGGCCGTGAAATGCCTGAAATAGGCTCATTCAGACAGTGTGCTAGTGTATGTGCACAATGTTCAGCATGTACAGTGTACACTGTGCTGTATATATTCATGTCCTTGAGGAGATAAGCTAACGAAATAATGTAAACGAAAGAGGCGTGACTCCAGTATATGATGTAACGTCTATCTCATGTTCAAATTGCCTCTGTTTGCTGTGTCTGCGACTGCTAGTTTTGGCTAGAGGTGTGAATACTCTGTGTGAATGTGTGTGTTTACTCAGTGTTTGCTCTGTGTGTGTTGTGTTTCAGTGAGCGTGTTCTGGATGTGGTGAACAGTAACGGCCTCCATGACCCTGGTCCTGTCAGGTGGCCCCAAGCCCTCTGCCTCCTGACTGCCTGGATCATCATCTTCTTCTGCATGCTCAAGGGCATCCGCAGCTCTGGCAAGGTGAAATAGCACACACGTCATCAGAATACACACACACACACCTGTAAACACAGACATACTCATGTTACGCAAACATGGCCTCAAAGCAAACATTCTTGCTCTTGTTGTTACTATGTACTTAAGAGCTGTTACTCTAACTTTGTTGGTGGTTTACGTGACTGCGACGTTCCCTTAATTCGTGCTGATCGCTTTGATCATCAGAGGTGCTACACTGGAGGGGTCACTTCAGGGTGTGGCCTTCTACCTCACCCCTGACGGGTCGGCTGGCCAGTGCACAGGTACATCCCCTAGTGGACACAGGCTGGTATAATATCTAGAGTCAAGTATAGGTTGTGTGTTTTCGTGTGTGTGCCTACCTTTAATGATGAGTGTCAAGGCCCTTGCTGCTGGCCAACAAAGTAAACAGCATGTCTTAACTGTCACCGTTACCATTTAGGTGTGGAACGATGCTGCCTCCCAGATCTTCTACTCATTGGGGATTGGTGTTGGGGGGCTGCTCTCCATGGCCTCCTACAATAAGTTTGATAACAATGTCATCAGGTCAGTAGTACTCTACTCTGCACTCTGAGGCTACAGGCATGCTGGGAAATGGAGTCTATTCTAACATTGTTCTGCTTTCAGGGACTGTCTGGTCATCACCATAGGGAACTGCAGCACCAGCTTCTTTGCGGTCTTCGCCATATTCTCAATCCTGGGTCACATGGCCTGGTGGAAGGGAGTGCCTGTTGGAGTGGTGGCAGACACTGGTAGCTCTCAATGAGCAAATCACTCCTCTTGTATTAACAATACATTTATGTTACATTTATGACATGGTAATCACAATACATCCAGTTATTATCATGGCAATAAAAAGTTATTTTATGGCAAATATAAGCTCATTATTCAATAGTGTCTTCAGATACTTTGACTAATAATAAGCATGTGTGGTGTGTGTGTGTCTGCATTCCTTAATATTCACAGGAGTGAACCAGTTTCGCCAGGACATAATTGACATGATCTGTCTCTGTCCTCCCTGGTGCCGCAAAGTGCTGCTCTACTTCAAAGCATGCTGGGTATTCTGCACCCCATTTCTCCTACTGGTGAGTCAGACAGATTTATTTGACCCTCGACCTTTACATTATATCTCTGGGGAAGCATCCCTCTCTGTCTGAAATCCACCCTTTGTTGCACCCTCACAGTGGTGAATAATTTCAAGAAACTATCCCCTTTCACCCCGGCTGTGTTCTCTATGGGTTTCTTTTCAATCACCCTTCATGTATGCACAGTATGTCTGATATGTGTATTTTATGAGAAAAGTGTGTAGTAGCTGTTGCATAGAAACATAAATGAGTGAGCTAACCAAGTGTCCTGAGCCAGAAAGAGTAATGGACGATACCATAGAGGCTCTGCCTGGATTGTCACACAGATGTCTGCTGTTAAACTTTCTTATTGCTGATGTTTTCATTTATGTTGCCTTTGTTTCACCCTGCCTCTCTGTTTCTGTGTCCCTGTGCTTCCAGTTCATCCTGATCTACATCTTCATTGAGATGTACAACACCCCGCTGCACTATGGGCCCTATGTGTACCCTCGCTGGGGCAAGGCGCTGGGGTGTGCATGGGCGCCACCTGCTGTCTGCAGATCCCCATATGGGCCATCGTGGCCATCAGCAAAAAGTCTGGGACACTGAAAGACGTCAGTACCGTCCGCCCCCATTTTCCCTGTCTGTCATCACCCAGGCCATGTTACACAGCTATAGTGATTGCCCTAAGGGGACAAATAAAGCTGTATTGAAATGACTTGAATACTGGAGCCACACTAAGAACACAATAAACTCTTGATAGGTTAAAGGCTGCCAGTGTGCTAATAATGTAGGGCAGGAGTCACAAATTACATTCAGCCGTGGGCCGATTTTTCCTCGAGCGGACGGTCGGGTGGCCAGAACATAGTTATAAATAATTTGAACACTGCAAATTGACTGCAATAATTCCAAACAGATATACACTGCTCAAAAAAATAAAGGGAACACTAAAATAACACATCCTAGATCTGAATGAATGAAATAATCTTATTAAATACTTTTTTCTTTACATAGTTGAATGTGCTGACAACAAAATCACACAACAATTATCAATGGAAATCAAATGTATCAACCCATGGAGGTCTGGATTTGGAGTCACCCTCAAAATTAAAGTGGAAAACCACACTACAGGCTGATCCAACTTTGATGTAATGTCCTTAAAACAAGTCAAAATGAGGCTCAGTAGTGTGTGTGGCCTCCACGTGCCTGTATGACCTCCCTACAACGCCTGGGCATGCTCCTGATGAGGTGGCGGATGGTCGCCTGAGGGATCTCCTCCCAGACCTGGACTAAAGCATCCGCCAACTCCTGGACAGTCTGTGGTACAATGTGGCGTTGGTGGATGGAGCGAGACATGATGTCCCAGATGTGCTCAATTGGATTCAGGTCTGGGGAACGGGCGGGCCAGTCTATAGCATCAATGCCTTCCTCTTGCAGGAACTGCTGACACACTCCAGCCACATGAGGTCTAGCAATGTCTTGCATTAGGAGGAACCCAGGGCCAACCGCACCAGCATATGGTCTCACAAGGGGTCTGAGGATCTCATCTTGGTACCTAATGGCAGTCAGGCTACCTCTGGCGAGCACATGGAGGGCTGTGCGGCCCCCCAAAGAAATGCCACCCCACACCATGACTGACCCACCACCAAACCGGTCATGCTGGAGGATGTTGCAGGCAGCAGAACGTTCTCCACGGCGTCTCCAGACTCTGTCACGTCTGTCACATGTGCTCAGTGTGAACCTGCTTTCATCTGTGAAGAGCTCAGGGCGCCAGTGGCGAATTTGCCAATCTTGATGTTCTCTGGCAAATGCCAAACGTCCTGCACGGTGTTGGGCTGTAAGCACAACCCCCACCTGTGGATGTCGGGCCCTCATACCACCCTCATGGAGTCTGTTTCTGACCGTTTGAGCAGACACATGCACATTTGTGGCCTGTTGGAGGTCATTTTGCAGGGCTCTGGCAGTGCTCCTCCTGCTCCTCCTTGCACAAAGGCGGAGGTAGCAGTCTTGCTGCTGGGTTGTTGCCCTCCTACGGCCTCCTCCACGTCTCCTGATGTACTGGCCTGTCTCCTGGTAGCGCCTCCATGCTCTGGACACTACGCTGACAGACACAGCTAACCTTCTTGCCACAGCTCGCATTGATGTGCCATCCTGGATGAGCTGCACTACCTGAGCCACTTGTGTGGGTTGTAGACTCCGTCTCATGCTACCACTAGAGTGAAAGCACCGCCAGCATTCAAAAGTGACCAAAACATTAGCCAGGAAGCATAGGAACTGAGAAGTGGTCTGTGGTCACCACATGCAAAACCAGTCCTTTATTGGGGGTGTCTTGCTAATTGCCTATAATTTCCACCTGTTGTCTATTCCATTTGCACAACAGCATGTTAAATTTATTGTCAATCAGTGTTGCTTCCTAAGTGGACTGTTTGATTTCACAGAAGTGTGATTGACTTGGAGTTACATTGTGTTGTTTAAGTGTTCCCTTTATTTTTTTGAGCAGTGTCGTATTTGACAAAAACAGAATCATTTCAAACCTTGATTACATTGGGATACGATCACAGATACCTATATTTAGGCGTGGGAATACTTGGAAACAGATTTCCTAAATTAAAATCACTCTGAGCTGATTTTCTGGTCTTATATGTCCAACATTATTATTATTTTTTTGTATATGTATATGTATATATATATAGTGGGGAGAACAAGTATTTGATACACTGTCGATTTTGCAGGTTTTCCTACTTACAAAGCATGTAGAGGTCTGTCATTTTTATCATAGGTACACTTCAACTGTGAGAGACGGAATCTAAAACAAAAATCCAGAAAATCACATTGTATGATTTTTAAGTAATTCATTTGCATTTTATTGCATGACATAAGTATTTGATCACCTACCAACCAGTAAGAATTCCGGCTCTCACAGACCTGTTAGTTTTTCTTTAAGAAGCCCTCCTGTTCTCCACTCATTACCTGTATTAACTGCACCTGTTTGAACTCGTTACCTGTATAAAAGACACCTGTCCACACACTCAATCAAACAGACTCCAACCTCTCCACAATGGCCAAGACCAGAGAGCTGTGTAAGGACATCAGGGATAAAATTGTAGACCTGCACAAGGCTGGGATGGGCTACAGGACAATAGGCAAGCAGCTTGGTGAGAAGGCAACAACTGTTGGCGCAATTATTAGAAAATGGAAGAAGTTCAAGATGACGGTCAATCACCCTCGGTCTGGGGCTCCATGCAAGATCTCACCTCGTGGGGCATCAATGATCATGAGGAAGGTGAGGGATCAGCCCAGAACTACACGGCAGGACCTGGTCAATGACCTGAAGAGAGCTGGGACCACAGTCTCAAAGAAAACCATTAGTAACACACTACGCCGCCATGGATTAAAATCCTGCAGCGCACGCAAGGTCCCCCTGCTCAAGCCAGCGCATGTCCAGGCCCGTCTGAAGTTTGCCAATGACCATCTGGATGATCCAGAGGAGGAATGGGAGAAGGTCATGTGGTCTGATGAGACAAAAATAGAGCTTTTTGGTCTAAACTCCACTCGCCATGTTTAGAGGAAGAAAAGGATGAGTACAACCCCAAGAACACCATCCCAACCGTGAAGCATGGAGGTGGAAACATCATTCTTTGGGGATGCTTTTCTGCAAAGGGGACAGGACGACTGCACCGTATTGAGGGGAGGATGGATGGGGACATGTATCGCGAGATCTTGGCCAACAACCTCCTTCCCTCAGTAAGAGCATTGAAGATGGGTCGTGGCTGGGCCTTCCAGCATGACAATGACCCGAAACACACAGCCAGGGCAACTAAGGAGTGGCTCCGTAAGAAGCATCTCAAGGTCCTGGAGTGGCCTAGCCAGTCTCCAGACCTGAACCCAATAGAAAATCTTTGGAGGGAGCTGAAAGTCCGTATTGCCCAGCGACAGCCCCGAAACCTGAAGGATCTGGAGACGGTATGTATGGAGTGGGCCAAAATCCCTGCTGCAGTGTGTGCAAACCTGGTCAAGACCTACAGGAAACGTATGATCTCTGTAATAGCAAACAAAGGTTTCTGTACCAAATATTAAGTTCTGCTTTTCTGATGTATCAAATACTTATTTCATGCAATAAAATGCAAATTAATTACTTAAAAATCATACAATGTGATTTTCTGGATTTTTGTTTTAGATTCCGTCTCTCACAGTTGAAGTGTACCTATGATAAAAATTACAGACTACTACATGCTTTGTAAGTAGGAAAACCTGCAAAATCGGCAGTGTATCTGTCACGGTTTACTAAGCCAGAACCCAGAAGCAGACCAGGACAAGGTGAGTTGAAACGAAGGTGAGTATTTATTTAACAGATACAAAAAAACGATGTAGAATAATCCAGGGGACAGAGCGGACGGCGGAGATGAGTTGGTGGAGGTGCAGTGGTAGATCCAAGAATGGCTCGGCAGCCGCCGACAACCAGGCAGGGGTTGGGTGAAGGTTCCGGGAGATTGACTGCAGATAGAAACAAAACAGAGGTAAGTACACGGCAAGCCAACAAGGTGCAAAACAACAAAACTAACGCTAGAAACTCCAAGGCTGATACACTGACAAACATACTGTTCATGGCTAACGATCCGGCAGGGAATGGATGTCAGGTCAGGGCTTAAGAAGGGTGATGATCAGGACCAGGTGTGCAGACCGCTGATGAGATGCAGGTGCGGTTAATCGGGAGATCTCCCGCCTAGCAACGTCACCCGGCAACCAGGCCGGGAGCGTTCACGAACCCTCAGGAAACTGGAGATTCCGAGCAGAAAAATGGCAACACAGGCAGGAACCGACTCAGGATGCAGGGTTCATGACAGTATCAAATACTTGTTCTCGCCACTGTATATATATATATATATATATATATATATATATATATATATATGTGTGTGTGTGTATATATATATATATGTATATATGTATGTACAGTGAGGGAAAAAAGTATTTGATCCCCTGCTGATTTTGTACGTTTGCCCACTGACAAAGAAATGATCAGTCTATAATTTTAATGGTAGGTTTATTTGAACAATGAGAGACAGAATAACAACAAAAAAATCCTGAAAAACGCATGTCAAAAATGTAATAAATTGATTTGCATTTTAATGAGGAAAATAAGTATTTGACCCCCTCTCAATCAGAAAGATTTCTGGCTCCCAGGTGTCTTTTATACACGAGCTGAGATTAGGAGCACACTCTTAAAGGGAGTGCTCCTAATCTCAGTTCATTACCTGTATAAAAGACACCTGTCCACAGAAGCAATCAATCAATCAGATTCCAAACTCTCCACCATGGCCAAGACCAAAGAGCTCTCCAAGGATGTCAGGGACAAGATTGTAGACCTACACAAGGCTGGAATGGGCTACAAGACCATCGCCAAGCAGCTTGGTGAGAAGGTGACAACAGTTGGTACGATTATTCGCAAATGGAAGAAACACAAAATAACTGTCAGTCTCCATCGGCCTGGGGCTCCATGCAAGATTTCACCTCGTGGAGTTGCAATGATCATGAGAATGGTGAGGAATCAGCCCAGAACTACACGGGAGGATCTTGTCAATGATCTCAAGGCAGCTGGGACCATAGTCAACAAGAAAACAATTGGTAACACACTATGCCGTGAAGGACTGACATCCTGCAGTGCCCGCAAGGTCCCCCTGCTCAAGAAAGCACATATACAGGGCCGTCTGAAGTTTGCCAATGAACATCTGAATGATTCAGAGGAGAACTGGGCAGTGGCGGCTCCTGAAAAAATTCTCAGGAGGGGCAATTTTTCTGATTATTTAGGTGACCTACACACGTGCACGAGTCCGTGCACGCGATTCCAGATATCTTTACCTCTGAATAAACTGCCTTTATTATACCATATCCACCCTGTCCAAAGTCTCTACTTGGTCTCAGTTCTCCAGTAAACTTGTGATTATCAACAGTACACAACGGTAACAAACAATTGGGGGAACTCACGGGGCAGATAGTAACCACTTAAAAGGAAGCGATTCCCAAACCTTCCATAACAAAGCCATCACCTACAGAGAGATGAACTTGGAGAAGAGTCCCCTAAGTAAGCTTGTCCTGGGCCTCTGTTCACAAACACAAACAGACCCCACACAGCCCCAGGACAACAACAACAACAACAACAACAACACAATTAGACCCAACCAAATCATGAGAAAACAAAAAGAGAATTACTTGACACATTGGAAAGAACAAACAAAAAAACAGAGCAAACTAGAATGCTATTTGGCCCTAAACAGAGAGTACACAGTGGCAGAATACCTGACCACTGTGACTGACCCAAACTTAATGAAAGCTTTGACTATGTACAGACTCAGTGACCATAGCCTTGCTATTGAGAAAGGCCGCCGTAGGCAGACCTGGCTCTCAAGAGAAGACAGGCTATGTGCACACTGCCCACAAAATGAGGTGGAAACTGAGCTGCACTTCCTAACCTCCTGCCAAATGTATGACCATATTAGAGACACATATTTCCCTCAGATTACAGCGATCCACAAAGAATTCGAAAACAAACCCAATTTTGATAAACTCCCTTATCTACTGGGTGAAAAACCACAGTGTGCCATCACAGCTGCAAGATTTGTGACCTGTTGCCACAAGAAAAGGGCAACCAGTGAAGAACAAACACCATTGTAAATACAACCCATATTTATGTTTATTTATTTTCCCATTTGTACTTTAACTATTTGCACATTGTAACAACACTGTATATATACATAATATGACATTTGAAATGTCTTTATTCTTTTGAAACTTCTGAGTGTAATGTTTACTGTTAATATTTATTGTTTATTTCACTTTTGTTTACTATCTACTTCCCTTGCTTTGGCAATGTTAACACACGTTTCCCATGCCAATAAAGCCCTTAAATTGAATTGAATTGATAGTAAGGTCGCAATGACACAGAAAGCAGTTCAATGTCGGGGTACAGAGTCGCTCTCTTACCAGGATCGCGGTCCGCTCTGACCAGGGTGAAGGTGGCCGGCTCCACTTCTCTGTCCGGGACTCATCCAGCCAAGTCTCCCAGCTGTATTGGGATTCAGCTGCCAGCAGCGTTTTCATTATTTAGTCCGTTCGTAGCGGGTATGTACACGATCAACAAGATCAGTCCAAAACCAACCACTGGAAATCCATGGTTGGCAGAATGTTTGTAAACTAAGTCTACAAATTAAAAACATAAAATAACGCCGCACTGCAGGTCGCAACAGAGACGCTTCTAGCCGCCATTGTCTTAGTTACGTTCAACGTTACGTCACGTATGACGAAAGCGCGTAAGTGCAAGCCCACAGACACCCATAGAGAATGTATTGAAAGCTTTGAAATGTGAAAAAAATAGATTTTACATGACAGGCTATGAGAGACTTCTGGGCGATTTTCAACTTGACTGAAATCGCCCCAAAAACGGGCGGGGCCATTTGAAGCACGACTTTAGCCTGATTTGACATTTAGTGGCTGGCAGATCAGACGTGAACACTGATAACTGCTGTTGCCGTGATATAATTGATTAGAAAAAAAATCCCTTCCTTTTCCCGTTTGGCAGTGCGTCGCCCATATCGCCCTATTGAACAAGCCGTCCCTGGAACTGGGTGAAAGTGTTGTGGTCAGATGAGACCAAAATGGAGCTCTTTGGCATCAACTCAACTCGCCGTGTTTGGAGGAGGAGGAATGCTGCCTATGACCCTAAGAACACCATCCCCACTGTCAAACATGGAGGTGGAAACATTATGCTTTGGGGATGTTTTTCTGCTAAGGGGACAGGACAACTTCACCGCATCAAAGGGACGATGGACGGGGCCATGTACTGTCAAATCTTGGGTGAGAACCTCCTTCCTTCAGCCAGGGCATTGAAAATGGGTCGTGGATGGGTATTCCAGCATGACAATGACCCAAAACACACGGCCAAGGCAACAAAGGAGTGGCTCAAGAAGAAGCACATTAAGGTCCTGGAGTGGCCTAGCCAGTCTCCAGACCTTAATCCCATAGAAAATCTGTGGAGGGAGCTGAAGGTTCGAGTTGCCAAACGTCAGCCTCAAAACCTTAATGACTTGGAGAAGATCTGCAAAGAGGAGTGGGACAAAATCCCTCCTGAGATGTGTGCAAACCTGGTGGCCAACTACAAGAAATGTCTGACCTCTCAGCTCAGTTTGCCGGTGGAGAATCCACGACCGGTTTCACCCATCTCGCCTGCCGCTTCTGGAGCTGTGCCCTTCCGTGAGCCCAAGGTTCCGACGCCTGATAAATATGAGGGGGAGTTGGGAAGATGCCGTTCTTTCCTTATGCAGTGTGGATTAGTTTTGCCACCAAGTACTAAGTCACGTTTTGCAGAGGGGTCAAATACTTATTTCCCTCATTAAAATGCAAATCAGTTTATAACATTTTTGACATGCGTTTTTCTGGATTTTTTTGTTGTTATTCTGTCTCTCACTGTTCAAATAAACCTACCATTAAAATTATAGACTGATAATTTCTCTGTCAGTGGGCAAACGTACAAAATCAGCAGGGGATCAAATACTTTTGTCCCTCACTGTAAGTATGTATGTGTGTTTTTGCTCAGAAAACTTGGGGGGCCAAATAAAATCACCTGTGGGCTGCCTATTGCTGAACCCTGGGTTACATCAGTAAAGAAAAGATACAAAGTCACAATCCATTCATTATAAAAATCTATTTATTAATCTCTTTCTCTGTCCATTCAGCGTTTTAAGAAATATATTCGACCTCTAAATTCCTGGAGGGTGAACAACTTGAACAACAGTGGAGGGGGAGAGGAACAAGTAGAGAGGGTGAAGGCACCGTTCACGTTAAACCTGACAGACAGAGACACGGTCAACCTTACAGAGGTGGATTTCAGAGCTTTAACCTGAGAAAATGGGACAGAGGCATGACCCTTCCTCACTGCTGGAGGTGGAGAGTGTATCATCACCTGCAGAACTGTGTGTACGAAGAGACAGAGGAAGGATTTCACTGTCCAGGCATCTTGCCCTGCCAGCCAGAAGGATACATTTTTGCCATTCACTATACTGAGACTTTAAATATTATTTTAATAACAAAGACTGCTTAGAATATGTATCTGATTGTCCTTCAGGACAATGTGAATGAGTGGTTTTATTGATCCTTTTAAATGTTTTTTACTCTGTCTATTTGCAATGTTGCTGGAGTGTGTATATAGCCTAAAGGGCATGGCTGCAGCATGCATACACAGACCAGGTTTGTCTTTCTGAGAGGAAACATTTTGTGGTGCAGGGCAGAGCTGTTTGTTTCCGCTGACAAAGAGACTGGCTATAGGACGCACGTTTGACTGTGTCTGTGTGGTCTTCTCATCTCTGATCTGTAGCTCACCAGAGGACTAGCTGTGCTATGGTACTATTTTATTACAAAATAATAAAATGTATATAATTGTAATATTACTGCACATCGTTTCATGTCATGTTGCAGTGCTGATTTATTGACTGTGTAGCTAGGTAAAACTTTGACTACTATGACAGGTAGCCTAGCCAGTGATGATTTTAGCATATAAATCTTGGTGGGGCAAAAAAACTAAGAAAAGTGGGATGCTTGCCAGCAAAGCCACTACACAACACTGTGACAAACTGTTCCCACAAACTGTTAGGGCCTACATAAAGCTGTCCCAACAACTTACCACTGCTACACCTGGCTATCAGCGGAGCCTTGTCTGGTAGCAAAACAGTTAATTCAGCCTAATTTACTGCCTTTAAAACAAACATAGCTGAAATGGCTGACTTGCTTAAACAAATGTGGTTTCTACTGACAATTGAGATGTACAAACTATGGCATAAGGGGACGACAAGCAGACAAGAGGCAATCTAATTTTGATTAAGACATTAATGAGCAAGCTAGGACTGATGTAGTCAATATAACTATTTGTTCAGCACTTTTGAAATGTACAGCGACAGAATTCAGAATATGGGCCGTTCTTACAGTGTTCTCCCTGTACACCAAGTCTGACCCGTAGGATAAATAAAGGGGCATATAAGCAGATAATGAAAGCTCTTACACTATTCGATGATTACATTTCTCTAAAACAGGTTATAGGCTACATGTGCACCACCAAGTCAGAACAGTAGGTGCACTTAAGAGGGGAAAATATACCAAATTATTAGGGTGAGGCACATGGGCTACTAACAGCTTACTACACAACATACACTTAAATTTATTTTGCAAACTGATATGTGACATGTATTAATGCCATTTTTGCTAAAAATGTGGGCCTCAAAACTGCCCTGAATAACGGGTTGCAACTGAGCCTAGCGGTTAAGTGCGTTGGGCCAGTAACTGAAAGGTTGTAGGTTCAAATTCCTGAGCCAACTAGGTGGAAAATCTGTCGATGTGCCCTTGAGCAAGGCAACCCTAATTGCTCCTGTAAGTTGCTTTGGATAAGAGCCTCTGCTAAATGACTAAAATGCAAATGTACAGATCTGTTTGGGGTCTCTTAAATACTGTAACGTTTTTTTGTGTAGTTTAAAAACATTTATTTCACCCCAATTTAAGCACGCCCCTGGCACCCTGTATAAATTGCTCTAGTTGAGGTAAAGAAGGCCTACACACAGAAATCGCCAAAGACGAATGTCGTATTGGCAGGGAGATTATGTAGGGTTTGCAGCTGTCTGGGTTCAGGTCTTGATTTTCAAAAAAGTTTATTTTATTTTCTGATTTCTTAATTTGCGGGTAATCTGTAAAAAAAAAAAAGTTATTCCTGTTGTTTTACCTGCCTTGTTAGAGCAGCCAAATACTGCACAGAAATTGACTGTGGTGATGAATCAACTCGTTTTAGGTACTGTTTTCATGCAGCTTGGGGTAGCCACACAGCTGTTGTTGTCGAAAGAACTGATGCTGTGGTCTTCCAACATGGCCGCCAGGAAGCGTCGTAAATCAACTCTCTATATTATTATTATTCTTTTGGGGTGTGAAATGACGTCTGGTGGATGGGCGGATGTTGAGTCTGTGACCTTTTCCCGCGGTTTCTTTCTGCCGGGAGTCAGCTTACAAGTGAAAACCGGGGTTTGGACGCGACCGGATTGAGATATAAAACCGATTCAGTTACTGATTTGTATTTAGTTTTAATAATCTGATAACCCACCAAGATGCCTCCCAGAAAACGCAACTCTGGAGCAGCACAGTACAAGGAAATTAAGCCCAGCATAAAAAAGCCTCCCCCAGGGAGTCCCCGGACAAGGTGCAAAATCCTGATTTATCGATAGAAAAGTAAGCTGCCCAGCTATCCGTCGTATTTAACAAGATAATGAGTCAAATTAATTTAGTAAAACACTAGCTACCCTGTTATGTTACTGGGTAAAATATAACGTTATTTTCTTTACGTAAAATTATCGCTTGGCTATTGTTTACTAGCTAGCTACCAACAACATCGCCTACGAAAACAAGTCGAGTCGAACAGCTGGGAAAACATGCTAGTTATCCATCATAGTAGTTATAGCAATATATTTGGGAATATGTGGCATGCTCCTCGTCTTGTTAGGTACTGTACGCTAAGGATCTTGGATACTGTTGTCTTGCCAAATAAATGAGTTAATAGGACAGGGCTTTGGCTTTCATAGGCCCCCCATTAAAATAACTCCAGTCGATTTGGGGCTGTATTACTATTCTTACCACAAAGTATTAGAATGATGGTGTTAAAGCTAGCTAGAATCCTTAGTTGAAACAATAACAAAGCAGTTACCCTGCCTCTGTTTTTGGTACAAAGCTGAGGGTTGGGCCTGGAGAAATGCAGAGGCATTTTTTATTTTTTTTCACCTTTATTTAACCAGGTAAGCCAGTTGAGAACAGGTTCTCATTTACAACTGCGACCTGGCCAAGATAAAGCAAAGCAGTGCAATAAAAACAACACAGAGTTACATATGGGGTAAAAAAACATAAAGTCAAAAATACAACAGAAAATATATATACAGTGTGTGCAAATGTAGCAAGTTATGGAGGTAAGGCAATAAATAGGCTATAGTGCAAAATAATTACAATAGTATTAACACTGGAATGCTAGATGTGCAAGAGATTATGTGCAAATAGAGATACTGGGGTGCAAAAGGGCAAAATAAATAACAATATAGGGATGAGGTAGTTGGGTGGGCTAATTTCAGATGGGCTGTGTACAGGTGCAGTGATCGGTAAGGTGCTCTGACAACTGATGCTTAAAGTTAGTGAGGGAGATAAGTCTCCAGCTTCAGAGATTTTTGCAATTCGTTCCAGTCATTGGCAGCAGAGAACTGGAAGGAATGGCGGCCAAAGGAGGTGTTGGCTTTGGGAATGACCAGTGAGATATACCTGCTGGAGCGCAGACTACGGGTGGGTACTGCTATGGTGACCAATGAGCTAAGATAAGGCGGGGATTTGCCTAGCAGTGATTTATAGATGGCCTGGAGCCAGTGGGTTTGACGACGAACATGTAGTGAGGACCAGCCAACAAGAGCGTACAGGTCACAGTGGTGGGTAGTGTATGGGGCTTTGGAGACAAAACGGATCGCACTGTGATAGACTACATCCAATTTGCTGAGTAGAGTGTTGGAGGCTATTTTGTAAATGACATCGCCGAAGTCAAGGATCGGCAGGATAGTCAGTTTTACGAGGGCATGTTTGGCAGCATGAGTGAAGGAGGCTTTGTTGCGAAATAGGAAGCCGATTCTAGATTTAACTTTGGATTGGAGATTATTTATGTGAGTCTGGAAGGAGAGTTTACAGTCTAACCAGACACCTAGGTATTTGTAGTTGTCCACATACTCTAGGTCAGACCCGTCGAGAGTGGTGATTCTAGTCGGGTGGGCGGGTGCCAGCAGCGTTCGATTGAAGAGCATGCATTTAGTTTTACTAGTGTTTAAGAGCAGTTGGAGGCTACTGAAGGAGTGTTGTATGGCATTGAAGCTCGTTTGGAGGTTTGTTAACACAGTGTCCAATGAAGGGCCAGATGTATACAAAATGGTGTCGTCTGCGTAGAGGTGGATCTGAGAGTCACCAGCAGCAAGAGCGACATCATTGATATACACGGAGAAAAGTGTCGGCCCAAGAATTGAACCCTGTGGCACCCCCATAGAGACTGCCATAGGTCCAGACAACAGGCCCTCCGATTTGACACACTGAACTCTATCTGAGAAGTAGTTGGTGAACCAGGCGAGGCAGTCATTTGAGAAACCAAGGCTATTTAGTCTGCCAATAAGAATGCGGTGGTTGACAGAGTCGAAAGCCTTGGCCAGGTCGATGAAGAAGACGGCTGCACAGTACTGTCTATTATCAATCGCGGTTATAATATCGTTTAGGACCTTGAGCGTGGCTGAAGTGCACCCATGACCAGCTCGGAAACCGGATTGCATAGCGGAGAAGGTACGGTGGTATTCGAAATGGTCGGTGATCTGTTTGTTAACTTGGCTTTCAAATACTTTCGAAAGGCAGGGCAGGATGGATATAGGTCTGTAGCAGTTTGGATCTAAAGTGTCACCCCCTTTGAAGAGGGGGATGACCGCGGCAGCTTTCCAATCTCTGGGGATCTCAGACGTTATGAAAGAGAGGTTGAACAGACTAGTAATAGGGGTTGCGACAATTTCGGCATAAATGTAACCACTCTCAAATTCAGAAACAACTATGGATGCAAGGACTGACCATCAATGATATCAAAAGTATAGCTTTTTAAGGCATTTTACATTTACATTGTTTAAACATTGGAGTAAAACAAGTTTATATTTTGGGTTTTGATGGGGTGTGACAGTTGAATTAAGCGCATGAGGCATTTATAAGTTGTATTCTTCAATAATCAATGGGTATTTATCATTAATTTATGTCCAAAATGCATGTAGCAACTAAGGTTTACAGACAATGACTAAAAAACACACTAATGCCACATCAA